TGCCGGCATCCTATATGGGTGCTGGTTCATGTGTCAGCTGCTCCTCTTCCGATCCAGCTCTCTACTAATGGCCTGGGAAAGCAGTAGAAGATGGCCCAAGTGCTTGGGCCCCTGCGTTCACGTGGGAGACCTTGAAGAAGCTCCTGGCTCCTGGCTTCAGATGGCCCAGCTCTGGCTGTTACAGCCATTTGGGGAGTGAACCGGCGGATGGAAGACTTTTCTCTCTGTCTCTCCCTCTCTGTAACTTTACCTCTCAAATAAATAAATGAAATCTCAAAAAAAAAAAAAAAAAAGGTTTGTCTATTTGCTTGAAAAGCAGATATAGAAAGATCTTCCATCTGCTGGTTCACTCTCCAAATTACCACAGCAGGAGGGCGTGGGTCAAACCGAAGCCAGGCACTCCATTGGGTGTCCTGTCTGGGTGGCAGGGACCCAAGTATTTGAGCCATCATCTGCTGTTTCCCAGGCGCATTAGCAGGGATCTGGATCAGAAATGGAGTCAAACTGGTGCCTGTAGTGGCTTAACCCTGACTGTATTTTAAACTGTATGTTATTGATCACTATTGAGGTTTTTTAAAAAATATGTATTTATTTGAAGGACAAATGGGGTTTGGGGAGACAGAGAAATCTTCTATCTGCTGTGCTGTTTCACTTTCCAAAAGGCCACAATGGGCAGGCTGGGCCAGGCTGAAGCCAGGAACTTGGAACCCCATCCGAGTCTCCCATATGGGTGGCCGAGGTCTCAGGCCATCCTCCGCTGCTTTCCCAGGCTCATTAGCAAGGAGCTGGATCAGAAGTGGGGCACTGGGACTTGAACCGGTGACCATATGGGATGCAGGCACTACAGGAGACAGCTTACCTCGTTGTGCCACAGTGCTGGCCCCTGAGATGATTATTTTGTCAGCCAGACCCCATGCATTTCTGTACTTGAACCTGGCAAGTTTGTGCTACAGGCCCCTACAGCCCCCGACACGCTGAAGATTAAAAGTCTTAGGACCTCTGAACTGAAGAGCAGCAAGTGGGGCAAGAAACCCAAAGTGAAGTGAAGGAAGCTTACTTCACAGAGCTTCCTGGCAGCCAAGGCAAAAATGCATAAAGAGGAAGCTGAAGGGGTCATGAGCTCTCCAATTGCAGAAGGGGAAGCAAACCAGATTGCCCAAACGGGAGCGTTTTGCTAGCACTGACCCCTGCCAGGGCGAGTCCAGGGCCCTGCGTAAGACTGCTGTGTAAGGGGCAGTTTCCTGGAAAGATGCAGGAACTGCCTAGGCCTGGGCCTGGGCCCTTGTAGCCTCCTCGTGGTTCCCGCTGGGGGTTGATGAACTGTAGTTCCGGAGAGATCCGTGTCTGTAAGAGGCTCCCCGTGTGTGCACTGCGTGGCGTTTGGGATGGGGTTTTGTTTGGGGGATCTCAGCTGGCTGTGCCCACAAGGTGGGAGGCAGGGGTGTTTAGTGCCATCGTGCACGCGAGGAAACGGAAGGTCGGGCTTGCTCTCCGCAAGGTCGCATAGTCGGTTAAGTGGCACTGCTAACCTTGAACCTAAGTCTGCCGCCACTTTCTTTCCGACGACACCTGTCAGAGAAGAGGAGGGAGCGTCTGACCCTATTACTTATCCACCTGGTGTCAGGGCTGGTTTCAGCGAGTGTTCCCCGTAAGTCCTAGTGCTGTTGGCATGAACCCATTTCACAGAGAGGACTGGGGTGGCCCAAGGCGAGAAGGATCGTGTGGGTGGCAGGGAAGCTGAGCAGGGCCTCTGGACTGGCTGCTGAGATTCGGCAGCGTTGTACACCAGCGGTTTTTCCTGTTTGCCTTTAGCTGAAGGCACGGGGCAAGGACAGCATTCATGGAGACTCAAAGAACAAACCAGAAACCCCTAAGCAAGGTGGGGCTCCCGGCACGAAGGAAGGGGTGATGGTGAAGAGCTCAACATTGGCTGAGCCCCAGCCAGGATGCCCCAGATGGGCTGCTCGTCCCTCAGAGAGTGAGGGTGTTTCACTCCACCTTTTTAAAAAAAGATTTATTTATTGAAAGGCAGAGTTAGAGAGAGAGGGAGGTATCTTCCATCTGCTGCACTTCCCAAATGGAACAACTGCCAGGGCTGGGCCAGGCCGAAGCCAGGAGCCAGGAGCTTCTTCCAGGTCTCCCACATGGGTGCAGGGGCCCAAGGACTTGGGCCATCTTCCAGTGCTTTTTTCCCAGACCATTGGCAGGGAGCTGGTTGGGAAGTGGAGCAGCCAGGACTCGAACCCGTGCCCATGTGGGATGCTGTTGTCGCAGTCGGCGGCTTTACCTGCTACGCCACAGCACCAGCCCTGTATCGCCCCGTCTTACAGTCTGCCAGCTGTGGCTTGATATAGTGATGCTGTTTTGTTTCTCCAGCATTTTGTCTCATGGCTGAGTTATTTTCCTAGCAATTAGAGGAGTTTTTGGTCCTCTTTTCTGGAGCTGAGAGTTGCTATAAGGCAGAATAATACACGTGCTTTGAGAGCTCAGTGCCTGTATCTGAGTTACTTTTGTTCCCTGAGCTCCAGGAGCAAACCTACTTGGCTTAAAGAATGAATGAGTGGGGCCGGCACCGCGGCTCACTAGGCTAATCCTCCGCCTAGCGGCGCCGGCACACCGGGTTCTAGTCCCGGTCGGGGCGCTGGATTCTGTCCCGGTTGCCCCTCTTCCAGGCCAGCTCTCTGCTGTGGCCAGGGAGTGCAGTGGAGGATGGCCCAGGTGCTTGGGCCCTGCACCCCATGGGAGACCAGGAAAAGCACCTGGCTCTGGCTCTGCATCGGATCAGCGCCAGTGCGCTGGCCGCCAGCGCGCCGTCGCGGCGGCCATTGGAGGGTGAACCAACGGCAAAGGAAGACCTTTCTCTCTGTCTCTCTCTCTCTCACTGTCCACTCTGCCTGTCAAAAAAAAAAAAAAAAAAAGAATGAATAAGTGATTGAAAAATGAGGCCGGCACCGTGGCTCACTGGGCTAATCCTCCGCCTGCAGCACTGGTACCCTGGGTTCTAGTCCCAGTTGGGGCGCCGGATTCTGTCCTGGTTGCCCCTCTTCCAGGCCAGCTCTCTGCTGTGGCCCGGGAAGGCAGTGGAGGATGGCCCAACTGCTTGGGCCCTGCACCCGCATGGGAGACCAGGAGGAAGCACCTGGCTCCTGGCTTCGGATCGATGCAGCGCGCCTGCCATGGCGGCCATTTGAGGGGTGAACCAACGGAAGGAAGAGCTTTCTGTCTCTCTCTCTCTCTAACTCTGCCTGTCAAAAAAAAAAAAAAGAGAGAGAGAGAGAGAAATAAATGGATGGGTGGGTGAGTGGGTGGGTGGATGAATAAGTAGAATGATTTCTTCCTTCCTGTATGGATCAGCGACACACGAGTGTGTCTCTTGGTGACTTCTGGCAGCCACTGTCATGGTGGGGAGAAGCCTGCTGTCACTGGGCGGCGTGGACCCGCTTGACCGGAGGAGCCCCAGGGCCACTTCTTCCTTTCCAGCCAGCAGTGGGGTATGAGTGGGTGGCAGCCACTGACACAGCTCTTCCGTGGCCTGGAGTAGGGCTGGCAAGGCCAGGATGGTCCTGGTGCCCCCTGTACGTGGCATCTGGCATAGCCCGGCCCACCTGGAAGCCCCCTGTTTAACCTGCTATGGTTACTTGCATCCCTGCAGGGCTCATCCTTCCCCGACCCCTCAAATAGGGAAGCACTGAGACCCCACTCTGGCGCCGAGGCCACACTGCTGAGCTGAGGCCCTGGGACTTAGGCCCAGCCTTGAGTGGCTCTGGAACCCAGTTCCCCGTGCAGCCTCCTGTGGGCGCCAGCTGCACACCAGAGGCCTCATCAAAAGCCCCAGACTGCCAATTTGTGTCCTGGGTGCTCCACTTGTGACTCAGCTACCTGCAAATGTGCCTGGGAAGGCACTTGGGCCCCTGCCACCCACGGGGGAGACCTGGATGGACTTCCTGCCTCCTGGCTTCGACCTGGCCCAACCCAGTTTGTTGTGGCCATTTGGGGCGTGAGCCTGCAGATGGAGGATCTCTCTTCCCCCTACCCCTAGCCCCATCACTCTACCTTTCAAATAAATAAATTGTTAAATATATATCTCCTGAGGTTCCTGTAGTTTGCCAGGCTGGGGAGCTGGCTTGGGCTGAGCTGGGTGGTGGCGGAGGGTGGCTTTCCTGTTTTGAGAGTGGGTCTCCCCAAGGGGCCCCCGGTGGTGGATCTGCCCCCACAGAGCGGTCTGGAAGGGACGTCACAGCCGGCCTGGGAGTGCATCCTGATGATTGTGAACCTCCCTGCCCCCCTGCCTCCCGGCCCTGCTCTGAGGATGAGGAGGAAGCATCCTTGCACATAGGCTGGGAGCCCAGCAGGAGGCAGGAGGAGTGAAGACGAGTGCCTTGGGAGGCAGGGGCCTGGGGCACGTCCTGCTCCATCCCTCCACTAGCCTGGGAGCTCCTTGAGGGCCTGGACCAGCCTAGTAGGTGTGCAGAAGGTGTATGATGAATGAATGAATGGCTGTGAATGAAGGAGTGGGCGTAGGAAATGTGCTTTCTGGTGGAGGTCCTGCCACTAACCCATCTGTGTGGCCTGGATCAGTGTCCCCCCCCTCCTTCCTGAGCCTCGGTTTCTCCCTCTGAGCTGATCTTCCCGATGCTGAGGTTCCAGGGTGGCAGGCAGGACCCCGGCTCTGGGAGGTGGAGTGGGTCAGGGACAGCTGTGGGCGCTGTGTGAGGACTGGGCCAGCTTGTGCATGGGGGAAGGCATCCCCTGAGGCCCTTGGCTGTGGCCCTCAGGAAACAGGACAGCTGGCAGGTGGGGACCAGGGAGCAGGGCGGTGGGAGGGGGCCACAAGGCTGTTTGCTGAAGTTTTGGGTTTCCATGGCGACTGGCCCTCTGTGTGTTTGGGGCCTCCTGGGAGGGTGGGCAGACTGGGCCGACCCTGTGGGCCCTGGGAGGGGGGTCTCCCGTCTCGAAGCAGGGCACCCGCTCACTGTTGCTTGGCCTTGTGTTCTCTGCAGATCATGATCGAGTTCTGCCCGGGCGGAGCCGTGGACGCCATCATGCTGGGTGAGTCTGCCTTGAGCGACAGGGTGTGGTCAGCGACTGGACGCAGCAGTCCTCAGTCGGGCTAGAGTCCCTCACTCCCCCAGGCCAGTCCTTCCACAGCCTCTTCCAGCGCCCTTACCCTTGGTCCCTTTGCCGGGTCAGAGTTTGGGTTCTTGCTGCACTGGAAAGACCAGCACTTCCCTTCCAAAAAGCCACGTGACCCTGGACTGTCCCTTGTCTCAGGTGACTGTGGCACCCTGAGGAGGTGCACATAGGACACCCAAGGGAGGTGCTTTGGAAAGTGGGCCCTGTGGCTTTCAGCCTAACATAGCAGCTGAGATGGGTGGTTTAAAAAGAACGGGATTTATTTGGCTCACTTTAAAAAGCTTTATTTATTTGAAAGGCAGACTGACAAAGAGGGAGAGACAGAGAGAGAAAGAGATCTTCCATCAACTGGTTCACCCCTCAAATAGTCACAACAGCCAGGGTTGGTCCAGGTCAAAGCCAGGAGCCTGGAACTCCATCTGGGTCTCCTACATGGGTGGCAGGAACCCAAGCAGCGAGGCCCGTCCTGCTGCCCTCCCGGGCACATCAGTAGGGAGTTGGAGTGGAAGTGGAGCAGCCAGGGCTTGAACCACTCTGGTATGTGGTGCTGGCATCCCGAGTGGTGGCTGAACCTTTTGTGCCACAGCTCACATCTGATGGCTCAGGGTTCTGGAGGCTGGGAAGTCCAAGCACGTGGTGCTGGCGCCTGGGGAGGCCCTTCACGCTGTGTCATCTTGTGTGGGAAGGCAGAGGGAGGGGCGAGAAGGTGTGTGTGCACACAGGGGCGTGTGTGTGAGAGAGAGAGAGAGCGCCAGTGGGCGAGAGAGAAGGGAAGGCAAACTCATCCTTATCAGGAACCCACTCCCATGTCTCCACCCCCACAAACCCCCAGATCTGCTCACCTGCCCAAGGCCCCGCCTGTTGAGAGGCCCTGAGTATGTGACGCTATCCGGCGCCTTGTCACTTCTTATTGTGAACCAGGTATTTCCCTAGACTCCCATCTCAGGAGCGAGTCCAGTCGGCAGCAGTTTGTCCCCACCCTGAGCTAGGAGACACTGGGCCTGAACCCTTCCCATAGAACTCCTTCCCTTGCTCAGTGGGTCAGGCCCCTGCTCGGACGCCTGCATCCCATAGTGGAGTGCCAGGGAAGGAGTCCCAGCTCTGCCACCTGATTCCAGCTCCCTGCTGATGTGCACACTGGGAGGCAGCAGGTGATGCCTCAAGGACTTGGATCCCTGCCACCCATGTGGGAGACGTGGATTGAGATCTGGGATCCTGGCTTCAGCTGGGCCAAATCCCAGTTATTTGTGGGCATCTGGGTAGTGATCCGTCAGGTGGAAGATGTCTCTCTTTGTTTCTCTCCCTCACCTTGCCTTTCAAATAAAAAAAAATTAATAAAATACAATGGAATCAAGGGCGTGGGAACTGGGGGATGATAGAAGCATTCTGTGAACTGTGCTGAGGACGTGTGGCGGCATCCGTGAGTGCATAGTAGCCGCGTGTGTGGCTGCACACGTGAAAGCATACGTGACTCACAGAACTGGATGCCGAAATAAAAGTGAGCTTTGCTGTCAACTGTGCCTCGATAACCAGACCTCAAAAAGTACATCATACAGGGTTGGTGCTGTGGCATAGCGGGTAAACCCTGTGGTGCTGGCATCCCTTATGGGTGCTGGTTCGAGTCCCGGCTGCTCCACTTCTGATCCAGCTCTCTGCTATGACCTGGGAAAGCAGTAGAAGATGGCCCAAGTCCTTGGGCCCCCGCACCTGTATGGGAGACCTGGAAGAAGCTGCTGGCTTTTGGCTTTGGACTGGCCATTGCAGCTATTTGGGGAGTGAACTAGGGGATAGAAGACCTCTTTCTCTGCCTCTGCCTGTCTGTAACTCTGCCTTTCAAATAAATAAATCTTAAAAAACAAAAGAAAGAAAAAGAAAACAAAGTAAAAATCACCACAGGATAACCTGATGGCTGCTGAAGTATATAGCATATTGATTAAAATTAAGTGTATTCATTGTCACAAGAGGAAATGCCAAGTAAAAGTCATCAGTTATTTAAAAATATATATATCATACCTACCCCACTGAGTTATTATGAGGACTACATTACAAATGCGCCAAGTCCTTACCTTGTGCCTGGTGCAGTGTAAGGGCTCAAAAAGTGGCAGTGATAGGGTTTTCATTGTCTTTCTCTTTACCATTACTTTCAGTATTGCTCTTGTTTATGTCAGTGTATTAGACATGACCAGGACACATTTTTGCCATTTTGTAGAAATATTGCTACAGATATTCTAGCTCTGGACTCATCTCAGAGCGAACATAGTGATAATCACCTGTTATAGTTTTTTATGCTTCTGAGAACTTAGCATATTCTATTGGTGGCTAGCCCTACCCATAGTGCTTATAACCATCCCATTGTTTGTTTGTTTATTATTTATTATTTTTTGACAGGCAGAGTTAGTGAGAGAGAGAGACAGAGAGAAAGGTCTTCCTTCCGTTGGTTCACCCCCTAAATGGCTGCTATGGCTGGCGTGCTGTGCCGATCCGAAGCCAGGAGCCAGGTGCTTCCTCCTGGTCTCTCACGCGGGTGCAGGGCCCAAGCACTTGGGCCATCCTCCACTGCCTTCCTGGGCCACAGCAGAGAGCTGGACTGGAAGAGGACAACAGGGACAGAATCTGGCGCCCCAACCGGGACTAGAACCCGGGGTGCCGGCGCCGCAGGCAGAGGATTAGCCTGGTGAGCAGCGGCGCTGGCCCATCCCATTGTTTTTAAAATAAAGATTTATTTATTTACTTGTGAGGCAGAGTTACAGAGAGAGAGAGAGAGAGGGGTCTTCCATCCACTGGTTCACTCCCCAAATGGCTGCAATGGCCAGAGCTGAGCTGATCTGAAGCCAGGAGCCACGAGCTTCTTCCAGGCCTCTCATGTGGGTGCAGGGGCCCCAGCACCTTCCTAGGCCATCAGCAGGGAGCTGGATCGGAAGTGGAGTGGCCAGGACTCGCGGCACCCATATGGGATACTGGCACCACAGGCAGATGCTTAACCTACTACATCACAGCGCTGGCCCCTGTGATCCTCCCATTTTACAGGCTAGGAAATGAAGGCCCAGAGAGCTTGAATGAGTTGCCAGAAAAGTACACAGCTGGCAAGAGGCAGCCCTGGATTCAAGTTCAGTCTGTGCTCCTGAAGCCCATGCAGGCTCTGAGCCTGGCCTGGCTGGGATGTGGGGTTAGGGTGAGGCTGCGGAGATGGGGAGTAGCTTGCCCACTCCAGAGAAAGAGTCCCTTGATCCAAGCAGGAGCCCAGCTCTGCAACCTGGCTTCCCAGGATGGAGCAGCTCCTGCGCCTGCAGCCCTGGCTTCGTGCTTACTTTCACCGCTCCCCAGAGATCTGGCAGGGAGTGTTGGGCCTTGTGTGTTCCTGGCCAGGTGCCACCAGGAGACACAGAGTTTAAACAGACAGAGGCCTCAGAGCAGTGCCTGGGTGATCAGCCTCAGAGCCCACAGCCCACAGCCTGGGAGGCCTGTAGGCTTGGGGAGGTGGGCTGCCTGCAGGGCAGGGATCTCAGACAGCAGCAGTAGCTTACATAATCAGGAGAGTCGTGTGGGACACAGGCACAAGGATGTTGGCCTTAAATCTTCTTGCTCCCCGCCACTGCCTCCACTCCACCCTCTCTTCTGCCACCTCTCCCGCCCTGACCAATCGACCTGAGCACTTCTCGCGGCACCCATATCGGATACTGGCACCACTTTCCTCTTCTGGACCCACCGTCTGGGTACCTGGAACCCCCGCCAATGCCTCCCTGCCCTGTGCTGGACAGGGCTGTCCCACTGCAGGACTCGGCGCGGGTCTCAGACCTCATCAGGGGCTGCCCTCTGCACATTGCGTAACATGCAGCCCCCATAGCACGGCCCCAGGCCCTGCTCGCTCTGGCTCCGTCACCCCTGACTTCCACTTGGGGTGCCTTATTCTTCTCCTGCAGCCACTCCGGGGTCCTCTGCACATGCTGCTTCCTTTTTCAGGAATGTGCTCCCTCCCTTCCTTCCCAGACAGACAGACCAACAGAGAGACCTCCCACCCACTGGTTCACTACCCAAAAGGCTGCAATGGCCAGCTCTGGGCCAGGCCAAAAGCCAGAGCCAGGAACTCAGTCCCGTCTGCCATGTGAGTGGCAGGAACCCATTGCTTGAACCATCACTGCTGCCTCCCAGGGTCTGCATTGGCAGGAAGCTGGGGTTGAGAGCTGGAACCAAGGGTCGCACTTGTGATATGGGATATGCAGCGTCCTAACCACTAGGCTAAATGCCCACCCCAGGAATCCTTTTCCTGCTCCCCACCTGTTCAGTACAGTTCCTCCTTTGAGTGAGCAGAAGGGCGCCTGCCTTCTCTTAGGAGACACTGAGTTGTATGAGGAGTGGGGGTGGAGGAGGAGGATGAATGTGTATGTCTGCCTTCACTGGTTTTTGGTGATCTGCCCCTGGCCTTCCCGGCTGTTCGCCTTCCACACCTCCTGGCACCACCGCCAGCAGCCCGTGGACCTGTCGTCCATACCCGCTCCTGCAGCCTCCAGGCCTTTGCTTCTGCTGTCCTTGACCTGGAAGGACCTCAGCCCATTTAGTCTCCTCTCAAACACCTGTGCCTCCTTCCAGACACTGCCCTTCCTATCCCCCGGGGAGAGGGTCTCATCTCCCACTCTGACCCTCTCGGCACCTGTACCCCGCTCAGTTGCAAGTGCGATCGTGGTCTCCCTGTCCCCCTCTGCACCCCTGCACCCAGCGCAGAGTCTGACACGGAGTGAGCGCTCACTTTGAGGCTGTGTTGGAAACTTACTCTCCACTTTGCTATGGTGATGGTATTTGGAGGTGGGGCCTGTGGGAGGTCACGAGGGTTGGCTGAGGTCATGAGGGTGGGGCCCCCAAGATGGTGTTAGTGGCTTCCTTTTTTTTTTTTTTTTTTGGACAGGCAGAGTGGACAGTGAGAGAGAGACAGAGAGACAGAGAGAAAGGTCTTCCTTTTTGCTGTTGGTTCACTCTCCAATGGCCGCCGCGGCCAGCACGCTACGGCCGGCGCGTCGCACTGATCCGAAGGCAGGAGCCAGGTGCTTCTCCTGGTCTCCCATGTGGGTGCAGGGCCCAAGCACCTGGGCCATCCTCCACTGCACTCCCTGGCCACAGCAGAGGGCTGGCCTGGAAGAGGGGCAACCGGGACAGAATCCGGCGCCCCGACCGGGACTAGAACCCGGTGTGCCGGCGCCGCAGGCGGAGGATTAGCCTAGTGAGCCGCGGCGCCGGCCCTAGTGGCTTCCTAAGAAGAGGAAGAGAGGCCTGCGCTAGCAGCTGGCTCTGTGCTGTCACGGGATGTTCTCTGCCACGTGTGATACTTCCCTGCCCCCAGAACCTGAGCTGAGGGAGTCTCTGTTCTTCCTGAATGACCCAGCCTTGGGTGTTTTGTAGCAACAGCATTTCCCATCACTCACTCTGTGCTTGTGCATCAGAGCGTGGAAGCAGGACTCTGGTTTGACTCTCAAATCTGTGTCTAGCCACCTGTGTGACCCTGAGCAGGTGACTTACCCTCTCTAGGGCTCTGTTTGCTCACCTGTAAAATGGGGGTCATAACTGTGCCTGCGCCACAGGGTGGTTGTGAGGACAAAGTGGGTCAAGTGTGAAATGCTCAGAAGTGACCCCAGTACCCAGTGGGTGCCCTCTACATCAGCGGCTTTGTATTTCTCGTGTGGGCCAGACAGACAGGTGCCTGCAGCCAGCACTTGCCGTGTTGACAATGGTTCTGTGTACCTGCAGAGCTGGACAGAGGCCTGACCGAGCCCCAGATTCGCGTTGTGTGCCGCCAGATGCTGGAGGCCCTCCATTTCCTGCACAGCAAGAGGATCATCCACCGCGACCTGAAAGCCGGCAACGTGCTCATGACGCTGGAGGGAGACATCAGGCTGGGTAAGGCGCGCTGCCGGGGGCGGGGCTGATGCTGGGGGCGGGGCTGGTGCGAGGCAGGGGAAGGGGGCGGAGCTTGGGCCCCTGCAGTCCTCACCGGGATGATGCCCGTCCTCCCGCTTCTGCCCTAGGTCATGCGTCCAGTGCCGTCCCTGGGTGCTCTTGGCCCCCAGGGACGTGTGGCAGTGTCTGGAGACATTTTGGTCATTGCAAGTGGGGGTGGAGGTGCTATCACCCCCCTGCTGGGTGGAGGCCCTGTGCTGTCCCTAGCACAGCCCGCCTTGGAGGACAACCCTGCCTAGTGGTGCTGAGGTGGGGCTCTTGTCTGAGCTCTGAGCTCTTGCCTCCAATCCAGAGTTGTTGCGCCACAGCGCCGGCCTCGTTCTTTCTCTGTATTTTTAATGGGTTTCTTTAGCCAATGTACCACATACATATCTCCTCTGCTCTTGCTGCCTCCTCACCATCCACCCCAGAGAAAACACTTTGAGCTCCCATTACCTGACGTTTCCATTACCAAATTTTATGCCTGCAATGCTGTTTTCTTAAAAACAAAGAATTGTTTCATTTGATGAAAAAGTTTGCTTGTCATACAGGATGCATGCACATAGTACTGGAAAGTTTAAAAGGAGAAAGCTAGGAAGTGCCCCCAGTCTCATCATGCAGAATTATCTACCACCCAGACACCTGTGCCTGCCCCGTGTCCCCCAACACCTGTGCCTGCACCTCTGTCCCCCTACACCTGTGCCTGCCTCTGGGTCCCCCTACACCTGTGCCTGCCCCTGGGTCCCCCAACACCTGTGCCTGCCCCTCTGTCCCCCAACACCTGTGCCTGCCCCCGTGTCCCCCAACACCTGTGCCTGCCCCTGGGTCCCCCTACACCTGTGCCTGCCCCGTGTCCCCCAACACCTGTGCCTGCACCTCTGTCCCCCTACACCTGTGCCTGCCCCCGTGTCCCCCAACACCTATGCCTGCCCCCGGGTCCCCCTACACCTGTGCCTGCACCTCTGTCCCCCTACACCTGTGCCTGCCCCCGTGTCCCCCTACACCTGTGCCTGCCCCGTGTCCCCCAACACCTGTGCCTGCCCCGTGTCCCCCAACACCTGTGCCTGCCCCCTGTCCCCCAACACCTGTGCCTGCCCTCTGTCCCCCAACACCTGTGCCTGCCCCCGTGTCCCCCAACACCTGTGCCTGCCCCTGGGTCCCCCTACACCTGTGCCTGCCCCTCTGTCCCCCAACACCTGTGCCTGCCCCTCTGTCCCCCTACACCTGTGCTGCCCCTCTGTGGGTAGGAGGCTGTACAGAGAGGAGGGGACTTAGAGAGGGACGATTACGCTTGACAGATGCTGCCTGTCTCCTGTTCATTTGCGTGCATTCAGTACCTTCTTCCACTAGCATCCTTCTTGGGCAGCTACATAGTTCGTTCATCTGGCCCCTGCCCCGAGCATCCCTGTCCTGCCACCACGGGACGGTCACCCTCTCTAGTTCCCCTAGTAGGTGCCTTGTTGCCTTTTTTTAATTTGTAAAGCAGATTGGTAGAGCCAGAGAGCTCTTCCATCTGCTGGTTCACTCCCCAAATGCGCACAATGGCTGGGGCTGGGCCAGGCTGAAGCAGACGTCCGGAGCTCCATCTCCATCTCCCATGTGGATGGCAGAGGCCCAAGTCCTCGGGCCATCGTCTGCTGTCTTGATAGGACATTGGGAGGGAGTTGGATCAAAAGCAGAGCAACCGGGACTTGAACTAGTGTTCAGGTATGGGATGCCAGCATCATAGGCGCGGCTAACCCACTGTGCCACCTGCCGGCCCCCTTCCTGTCTTTAAGGAATGTTTCAATCACACCCATTAGACACCACACCACTGAGTTCCTGTGGCGGAGGATGGCATGGATGGTGATGAGGGTGGGACAGGGATGGGTGCCAGGCACTCCCAGACCTCTGCAGCAGGAAGGCGGCCTTCAGTTGCCCACTGTGGGGCCCAGAGGGACAGAGCCAGGGCTGACTGAGGGCCAGCAGCGAGGGGGCAGGTGCGTGGGTAGAGCGTGTAGAGCATGTTCCCTACTGAGCCTGGGGCGCGTGTGGGAGGGGCGGTGTGGGCTGAGTTGTGAGAGTGGATACTTGCCAGGTAGTCAGGCGGGGCCAGGCGGGCAGAGGCCAGGGAGTGAGAAACAGCAGGCTCTTCTGGGGAGAACTATAATGAAAATCACCGCCCCATCTGGGTATGGGAAGCACCCGCCAGGTGCCAGGCATTAAACCAGGCTTTTCCTGGATGTCAGTTTATTTCATCAGCATCCCAGGGGCACTCCATGGGGTAGGGACTGTACCCATTTCACAGCGAGGACGCTGAGGCCCCGGATCCTGTCTCGAGCGAGGGGACATGGTAGGATTTGGGCTCTTCCTGACTCCACACCTTTCAGGGGACGCCTCGTCCCTTCTCCTTGGACAGTGGCAGGGCAGAGGCTGGCTCAGGGAGGATCTGGGGGGCAGAAGAGGGTCTTGTGCACTCCGGGAAACCCAGGGGATGCATGCAACAGGGCCTTCAGGAATGTGTCCAGTGGAGGAGGCAGAGTAGAGCAAACCTGGGCCAGGAGCAGCCCGAGGGCTGGGGAGAGCAGAGAATGGGGGAGGGGCCTGGCAGGTGCAGGCTGAGATTCGCCCTGGGGGTTCTTGTTCCCCAGGCTGCTACACCCATGCTCACCCAGGCACCCTCGCTCTGGAGAGTGCAGCCCAGTGAGCAGACTCTGGAATCCCCCTCATTCAGAGCCACAGAGGGCGAGACAGACGCAGATGGGTATCAGGTTTCAAAATGACTTGGGAGGCAGGCATTTGGCCTGCATCCCATGTCAGAGGGCTTGGGTTCAAGTCCTTGATTCTGGCTCCTTGTTAATGTACACACTGGGAGGCTGCAGCGATGGTTCAAGTAATTGGGTTCCTGCTGACCAACCGTGTGGGAGCCCTGGATTGCATTCCCACTTCCGGCTTCAGCCTGGCCCAGCCCAGGTTGTTGCAAGCATTTGGGGAGTGAACTAGCACATGACAGCTCTGTCTATTTATCTGTCTCTTTCTCTCCTCTCTCTGTCTCTGCCTTTCAAATTAAAAATAGTTAACACAGCTAAAAACTAAACCCAGAAAACAAGATGACTTGTTAAGAAACGAATCCAGGAGAAAGAAAAGTTGAATGAGAGTGGAGTGTGAATATTTGCACCACTACTGGGAACCTTGGTGCAAGCACCTGCTGAGACTAGAAAATCCTCCGACCGGCTCAGCTCAGATTCTGCAGACTGACCGCGGGCAGTGGAGGAGGCCCTGGAGACGGGGTGTGGCCAGCTGGCCCCTCCCATCTTCCTGGGGCCCTGGAGCCCCACCCCCATGTTCTCTACCACTTAGGAGAGAATCAGGAAAGGGCATTATCTCCCTGGAGACCACGTCTGCACCCTCAGCAGAGCGGGACTAGAATGAATGAGCTGAGCTTGCGTGGGCTCTAGGCACAGGCAGGCCTGGTTCAAATCCTGGCTCCGCCACTGCCTCTGTTGGCCTCTGCAGCCTCAATCCTTTCATCTGTGCAATGGGACCAAGAATAGAACCTCCTCTGAGGTGGTGGCGCCCACTGGTGCAAAGACCACGAGGTGCCGACCCCAGAGGCACGCACCCAGGCCTCTTTCTCGGCTGCTTAGATGTTGACTCTCTAGAATTTCAGACTCTCTTGGATACTCTGCGAGTTGCCCCAGAAAGCTTCCAGCTCCGGGGGGCCGTGCAGCAGGCTGCATGGGCGGGGTCTGTGTGGAGGCAGAGCGAGTGTGTGTGAGCCTCACCCTGGGGCAGTGGGGAGTCTTACTGAATGGGGTACAGACTTGGAAGTCTGAAGATCAGGGTTCTTGTTTCTGTTTCAAATTCATTTGATTTATTTGAAAGGCAGAGTTGGGGAGTGAACTATCAGATGGCAGCTCTGTCTGTTTATCTGTGTGTCTGTCTTTCTCTCTGTCTTTACCTTTCAAATAAATAAAGAGATGGAGAGACAGATCTTCCATCTGCTGGTTCACTCCCCAAATGGCCACAATGACCAGGACTGGGCCAGGCTGAAGGCAGGAGCCTGGAACTCCATCTGGGGCTCCCAAGCACTTGGGCCGTCCTCCGCTGCTTTCCCAGGTGCATTAGCAGGGAGCTGGGAGCGGAAGTGGAGCAGCTGGGACTCAAACTGGGGATCTCCTTGGAATGCTGATACCGCAGCGAAGGCTTAGCCCACTGTGCCAAAATGCCGGCCCCTCAGTTTGGAAAAAAGTCCACCTTACTGAACACGTACAGACTTCTTTCCTTGTCGGCATCCCCCATTTGCACAGCATTCACCTTGCATTAGGTGTTGAAGCTGCCATGGGGATGATGGAAGCATGCAGGAGGCTGTGTGCAGGTTATATGGAAGCGCCAGGGCACTTCAGAAAGGTCGTGGAAAGCAGAATTAGATAGTGTATTTTGGTGCAGAATCATTTGAAACCTAAGCTTAGGGGGATCTTTAAAGAGTTTATGGAAAACGCATGTTATAAAAAGCTATTGAGGGGCTGGTGCCATGATGTAAGTGGGTAAAGCTGCCGCCTGCAGTGCTGGCATCCCGTGTGGGTGCTGGTTTGGGTCCCAGCTGCTCCATTTCCAATTCAGCTCTCTGCTATGGCCTGGGAAAGCAGTAGAAGATGGCCCAGGTTCTTGGGCCCCTGAACCCACGTGGGAGACCCAGAGGAGGGTCCTGGCTCCTGGTTTCAGGTCAGCACAGTTTCGGCCATTGCGGCCATCTGGGGAGTGAACCAGTGGATGGAAGACCTCTCTCTCTCTGCCTCTGCCTCTGCCTCTCTGTAACTCTGACTTTCAAGTAAACAAATACAATCTTAAAAAAAAAAAAAAAAAAAAGCTATTGCATTCTTAGAGTAGTCTAGCCTGTTTTTTAATTGTTTAAAATAAGAGGAAGAGGGAAGTAGGGGAGAGAGTGAGCGAGTTAGAACACTTCCGTCGACTGGTCTGCTCCCCAGATGCCCACACAGCCGGGGCTGGGCCAGACTCCCCCAAGTCATTCCAGGTCTCCCCCATGGGTGGCAGGGACTCATCTATCGGCACTGTCATCTGCTGCCTCCCAGGGTCCACATTAGCAGGAGACTGGAACCAGGAGCTGGAGCCAGGAGTTGAACCCGCATTCCACTGCGGGGGCGGGGCGGGGGCCTCCTCACCAGTGTCTTAATCTTTAGGTCAGTGCTCACGCCTACTTTGTTTGTATAAGTTGAATCGTATTAGCACATTTCCTGTGTATCCTTAAATATTCCCCAGAAGCGAGATTACTTCCATGTTTCTCCTAGGAGAGCCTGGCTGTGTGTGTGTGTGTGTGTGTCTGTGTGTGTCTGATTGTCTGAGCGAGGAGGCAGCCAGGCATGGGCCTGCTCCTGGTCTGGAGTCGCCCTGCGATGGTCCGATTTTTCAGGTGTGGCCTGGCTGGGGCCATGCAGCGTGTCCATGGCCTCACGCCCTGCTTACGCTCACACCCGTGACGCTCCCACAGCGCCGAGTGAAGAAGCTCTTTTCACCACATCCTGGGCCTTACTTAAGAGAGAAAAAACAAAAACCCACAAGGCCAAAAGGCCTTTGCTTTATGCATTTCAGTTTTTGAGCCATGAAAGCAACACGCTCTATCAAAGACATTTTATTTATTTTTAAAGATTTGTTTATTTGAAAGTCGGAGTTAAAGAGAGGGAGAGACAAAGAGAGAGAGAGAGAGGTCTTCCTTCTGCTGGTTCACTCTCCTGGTAATGGCAATAGCCAGCACTAGACCAGGTTGAAGCCAGGAGCCAGGAGCTTCTTCAGGGTCTCCTACGTGGTGCAGGGGCCTAAGGACTTGGGCCATCTTCTACTGCTTTCCCAGGCCATAGCAGAGAGCTGGATCGGAAGTGGCACTGCAGTGACTCAAACTGACGCCCATATGGGATGCCTACGCAGTAGGCGGTGGCTTTACCCTCCACGCCACAGCACCTGCCCAGTTAATTGATTAACCAAGGCGAGGCAGGCCGCAGTGCTGCGTGTGTGATTGCAGGTACCTTGTGCTGGTTTGTCGTTACCCTGAAAGTCACCACGTGCATCCCTGCAAGGTTACAGGAAAGTGGAAGAAGCCTTTTCTGCCCCCCCATTGCTTAAGCAATGCGGTGGGTTTCCTCCCTGGCACTGGGTCTGGTCTTGCCCTTATTTCGGAGGGCCCAGCTGTGACCACACAGGATCTTCAGGTTGTAATGTAACTAGTAGCTGGCCACTCTACAAGTAAAACATTGTATGTTTAAAAAAAAAAAAAAAACTTTAAAACGAATTTTAAAGATGTAGAATATCCCATCACGTGGATCTTTCTTTCCTCTCCATTTCCCTATTTCACCTCGCTCTGTGTGTGTGATACACTTTTGGGAAACTATGTAATGTATTATGTATTGTACATAGAAAGTTTTAATATGGTAGTTAAACAATTATGGCTGTTTCAGATGTGTGACTAATCTAATGGCGCTTTGATGAACATCACAGTGCGTAATGGTTTTCATATTCCAGGCTGTTTAGGACGGGTGGTGCAGTGCAGTGGGTGCAGCTGCCGCTTGGGACGCTTGTATCCCGTAGTGGAGTGCCGGGTGGAGTCCAGCTCCCTGCGAATGTGCAGCCTGGGAGGCAGTGGATGAGGCTTCCCGGACATGGGTCCCTGCCACCCACTTTGGAGACATCGATGAAGTTCCTGGCTCTTAGCTTTGGGCTGCTGCAGGCCGTCTCTCTCACTCTCTCTTCTTTCTCTCTCTGCCTGTCGCTCTTTAAAAAAATAAAAATGAATAAATGTTTTAAAGAACCTACATTCCTAACAATTTTCTGGAAATCCCTTTGTGTGTGTGTGTGTGTGTGTGTGTGTGTGTAAAACTTTCATTGGATCATTAGATTGCTAGATTTGGAATTACTGGATCAAAGGAGTACAGACATTTTAAATTTTTTTTTTTTTTTCGATTTACCAAGGGCACCTGCTGCTTCCTGCTGCCATCAGCAGGCAGGGAAGCGCCCCATCTCAGCGCACCCTTACAGCAGCAGGCGGGGTGTCCAGAGGCCTCTGGCTGGCTGGAGAGGAGCATCTGTTGCTGGATTTGGAATATGCATCCCTGGCCCGTGCCGGGGCTGTGGGTGGTGGAACGCTCGGCCCATTCTCTAGCTGAGATTTTATCTTGCAGCTGACTTTGGGGTGTCTGCCAAGAATCTGAAGACTCTGCAGAAGCGAGATTCCTTCATCGGAACGCCTTACTGGTGAGTCACGCAGCTTCTTCTGGAAACTGGATGTGGACCGAACGTTAAACCTACACCAGCATGGCCTCTGGGCACTGTAGAGGGGGAGAGGCCGGCAGGCCAGGGCCCTGAGCCACCTGCCGGGGTGAACCGGGCCACCTGCCGGGGTGAGCCAGGCCTCTAAAGCTTACCAGTCCTGAGACTGCACAAGCCACTTAGCTCCCCTCTGCCTGTTATCTCATCTGTGAAGTTAGGGAGGCAATGCAAAGGGGCTTTTAAAAAAATGCATGGGAAGATGGCATCAGGTGAGTTTACTTTGGTGCAGGAAAAAAGTTTGAAGTCAAGCATGGTTTTTCATTATTTGCATTTTCCATGGGCTTCTTTGAAGACCCCCCGTCCCACCCACTTCATGGCATCCCTGCGGGGGTGAAATGGGAAGTGCTCCATTCATAACGACTCAGCGGGAGCCCCAGAGGATGGTTCAGTTCTTGGTTCTTCTTATTCAACACTTCTGTGCTGAGCACCAGGCTGAGTTTTATGAAGATGAGCAGTTCAAGTTCAAGTCCTCTCCTCTCGAAGTCTCTCTAATTTCCCTGGTCTGTCCTGTTCCATACTTTTCCAAAACTATTTAAAAGCCAAGCTCTTGCTCCATCTGACCTCTGGTTGCTTTCTACTGTGTTGTGTTTTCTGTTTTTTTCTTGTGCGTCACGTGCCGTGGTGGAGTTTGGGCTCCCTTCTTGCTTGCTCACTACTGCTAACTGTTTCTCTCTCTCTCACCCCTTCTGTACCACTTCCTCCCTCTCCACCCCACCTTCCTCCCCTCCCCAGGACACTGAGGTCTGGATTGATGCTGCCATCTTGTGGTAGGAGTCAGCAACTGCAGCAGGACAGGGCTGGCGAGCCCGGGTGAAGACGGTTGTAAGGAACATGGGGAATGCTGCCAATTCCTGACCTTGACTGGTGGTGGCCCTTGAACCTGAGTCTCCCAAAAATGCCTCTGGAGGCCCGATTCTGAGCCCTCTGTTGTCCCTTGGTTGGTTCAGGATGGCCCCTGAAGTGGTGCTGTGTGAGACCATGAAGGACACCCCGTACGACTACAAAGCCGACATCTGGTCCCTCGGCATCACGCTGATCGAGATGGCCCAGATCGAGCCCCCACACCATGAGCTCAACCCCATGCGGGTCCTACTCAAGATCGCCAAGTCGGACCCTCCCACGCTGCTCACGCCCTCCAAGTGGTGAGAAGCAAGGGTGCCCGCAGGAGGCCTGGGGTGGGGCACTGTCCAGTCTCTTCTGAGCTCCCTCAGCCCCCCATGCCTGTCCTGTGCCCTTATGCTGTTTGTTTATTGGAAAGGCAGAGTCATATATGTATATAGAGAGATCTTCCACCTGCTGGTCCACTCCCCATATAGCCACAGTGGCCAGGGCTGGACCACGCCGAAGCCAGGAGCCTGGAACTCCATCCAAGGCTCCCACACGGATGGCAGAGGCCCAAGTGCTCAGGCCTTCATCCATGGCCTTCTCAAATGTATTAGCAGGGAGCTGGACTGAAAGTGGAGCAGCCGGGACTCCAACTGCACCCCCCACTGCCCTAGCCTTATACTCTTTGACAAGGTAGACCAGGTGCCCAAACAATCCAGATCCCACGGCGGGAAGAAGAGTCCAGGTCAGCCCAGAAGCCGCTTGGGACAACCCTGGGCTGAGGGCTGGCGGCCTGCGGGGCGGGGGTCGGGTATGGTGGGTAAGATACCACTTGGGTCTGTCCCATCCCGTCCCTGGGCTCACGTCTCAGCTTCCTGCTAGTGTGCACCCTGGGAGGCAGCAGGGGAGAACTTGGGTCCCGAGCACTCACATGGAAGACCCCTCCCCGCCACTGAGTTCCGGGCTTGCACACAGCCCTGGCTGTCGCAGGCTTTTAGGGAGTGAACCAGCAGGAGGAAGATCACTCTCTTCTCTTTCTCTCCATCTCTGCCTTTCAGATAAAATACAAATTTAAACAACTAAACAGACTGGGGCTTGGGTTCAAACTGCAGCCTTGCCGTAACGTGTGTGGCTTTGGGCAAGCGCCCCTCTTCTCGGATGGCCATAGAAGGACGTTGCTCAGGGCCACCACCCCTGCTGTTTCAGCCCACAACAGCCCCCTCTGCCCTCTGAGGTGCGGGTTTGCGAAGCAGGAGACTCCCAGGGAGGAGGGAGTTCGTGACGTCCTTGGGGACTTTTCTCGGCTCCGAGCTCACCACGGACACGTGTGCTCGCAGGTCTGTGGAGTTCCGAGACTTCCTGAAGGTAGCCCTGGACAAGAACCCAGAGACCCGGCCCAGTGCAGCCCAGCTGCTGGAGGTGAGTGCGCTCCCCTCTGCCAGGCGGGGCTGTGCTCCCCGCCACGCCTTTTCTGTGGCAGGCGCAGGACCCTCAGCGTGGGACACAGGCCACACGGCATGCTCGGCGGGTCACTCAGCAGTCAGTCATCCCTGGGTCCTGTGCTGGGGGCACCTGGGGCATGAAACTTTGCAGCCGACACAGGGGCGCGTGTTCTAGGGGGAGAGGCAGGTGGCTCAGGGGTGCCTCAGGAGGGGAGGGGGCGTGGCCAATGACAGGGAGAGGGCACCTCCTGCCTGGCACCCACCTGAGGCGCTGACTCCAGCAGGCGGGCAGAGGCTCTGCCCAAGCCAGTGTTCCTACAAGCATTTAGGCCGAGTGGGCCATTCTTGTCATTTCCCCGGGGGTCCGGTTCCGAATCCCAGTGTCCGGAGGCCCACTGAGGGTCCAGCCCTGTCCGCCCTGCTCATTTCTCTCGGTCGTGGAGGGGGCACCCAGGTTCCTGTAAGCCTGAGCCTTTCAAACAAACAAGTCAATGTTTATTTAAACAATATCGGGGGTAGCTGCGAGCCATCCTTTACAAGGGCTCCTGCTGGAGTTCTCCAGCGGGCAGCTGCTGGGGTGTTCACAGCAGAGTTCAAAAAAGTTTTTTTTTAAATTTTGTTGCTAAGCACTGCGCTGAGGAATGCTTGAGGCACGGAATCTGTTTCTTTGTTAAAAATGCAAAGGAACCAGGATGCCAAATGAAGTGTCCGTGTTGAGGGGGTCACGGTGGTTGCTCAGATTTCTACAGCGAGTCTGAGCCCCGGAGCTGCGCTGGGCGCCGTCGGGGCGGGGCTGCTGCTGCTGTCAGATGCCGAAGCCCCAAGCTGCTTGGGGCCCTTCGTCTCCTGCCCGATACATCCGGCTTCCGGGACATTCCGCGGGGCCAGGCCAGCTGTCCTCCGTGCCCGCATAGCAGCCCTGAGCCTCAGCCAGGAATTTCCCTTCTGGGCTTGGACCGAATGCCCTGCCTAGGATTCGTAGGGGGGTAGAGCTTTATCACCCCCTAAAGTGGAGGACGCTGGGGCTCAGCGCAGGGCCACCTGGCTTCAAGTGGCAAAGTGGGGTCCAGCCCGCATCTTAGCCCTGCCCAGAGCTGCCTGCGCCTTGGCCTGTGCCCGCCTCCTTCCTGGGGCTGTGTCTGCCCCGAGCCGGGTGGCGTATGCCCTGGCTGCTTCATGATCGCTGTTTCTAGGCCTCCTTCGGGCCGTGACTCCCGGTGCTCAGTCACCCAGGTTCTGGCATCAGCCGTGCCCACCCTGGCTCCTGGCTGGTTTCACCTTGTGCCTCCTGCATTTCCTCGTCTGTGGGATGTGGCCAGGGCTTGCTTCGCACAGTGGTGAGAGCAGGCGAGGATGTGCATGGGATGTTTTTAACATCACAGCTGCCTGCACCTCAGGTCTTTGTCTAATTCCTTCCTAAACCCATCCCTCCTATCTCCGCTCTTCTTGTCTAGATCGTCAGCTGTTCCTGTGTTGCACGTGCGCGCGCGCGCACACACACACGCGCACACACACACACAGACACACACACACGCAATCCCTCTGCCAAACTGCTTGAGCTCTGCTTTGGCCTCAGCTCATCCACGTGCATTATTTAATTTCATCTTCGTGGCCTCCCTGTGGGTTCAACCTAATTGCCTCCACTTCAGAGACAGGGAGGCTGTGGCTCAGAGAGGGTAAGTGACAGGCCCAGGGTCACACAGCTGGTGAGGAACAGAGCTGGGTTTGCTCTCTTTCCGCCACACTCAGGACTTTCTGAGCTGCCTCTGGGTTTCTTTGCCAAGTTCATGTGCACAGTTTGCTTGGGGCTGCAGCTGGCCTCCTCTGCCCCCCAGGGATCCGCTCCCGCAGCCTCTCCCGCCTCACCCCTATCCCAGAGCGGTTCTAATCCAGGTGTTTCTTGCCCCTTCAGCATCCGTTTGTCAGCAGCGTCACCAGTAACAAGGCTCTACGGGAGCTGGTGGCGGAAGCCAAGGCCGAGGTGATGGAGGAGATTGAAGACGGGCGCGACGAGGGCGAGGAGGAGGATGCCGTGGACAGCGCTTCTGTACGGCCGGCCGGGAGGGGCGGGGTCTCGGCGGGCCTGGGCGGGGTCATGGCGGGCCTGGGCGGGCGTGTTCTCCCCAGCCAGAGGTTCCCAGGCTTCCACGCTGTGGCCAGGGAGGGGAGGCCAGGGATCCAGATTTTCACATGCAATCTTCCAATTTTTACAAGTTAGTAACGGACTAGTTCCTTCTGCAGCTTGCATGCAAGCTGAGGCTGTGCTGTGGGGCAGATCCAGGAGGCTGAAGGGGACAGGGGCAACGGGCCAAGCAGTGCCGGCCACCCCAGGCCCCCATCTGGCTGGCCGGAGTGCCGGGGGGAACCCGTGTCTTGCCTCAGGTGTAACCCATTTGCACCTGGGAAGGGAAGCTAACTTAAACTGGTAGGCGCCATCGGAGCCGAGCATGGCACTCTGCAGGCTCGAGTCCACGCTGATCCCTGGTCCAGCTGTCGGGGGAGGGGCGTTGGGCTGTCCAGATGGTCCCATGCGCCCCGAGAGGCAGGGCTGGAGTTGGCCCACATCCTCGTGCTGTGAAAAGTGCAGCGGCTCACTCAAGTGTAATTCCATCCCAGAGGGAGCCCAAGGCTGGTGCGAACCCTCAGGGCGAAGAAAGTCCTAAAGAAAGCAAGCAGGGTCCGCACAGCAACCTCTGGCCCTCGTGGAGTGTCTGCGTGTGCTAGACGCCAGCTCAGGGAGGGGGACCACGGCTCCATTTTACAGATGGGAAGATTGAGGTCTGCTCTGTGAAATGGCTGGAAGAACTGGGAGACGGCAGGGACAGGTAGGAGCAGGGAGTAGGAGAACCACACTGGGCCTGGCTCCTGGAAGAGAGGAGAGAGAGAGCCACGCTGGGAGGAGAGGCGGAAACCGTCCCGTCTGACCTCCTTCTCCAGAGATGGGAGGCGGCTCCCATCCTGAGGTCGGTGGGAGCAAGGCAGGGTTTCAGGCAGGGGAGGGGCGTGGAGGTGAGAGAATCCGATCTGAGTGCTCCAGGTGTTGACAGGCGGCAAGATCGGAGCTGCTTCTGCTAGCTGCCGTGTGCAACGTCAAAAACCAGGGGCTGGCAGGACCCGGAAGAAAGCTGGTAGTGTGATTCCATTAGCATCAAGTTTAAAAGCGGGCAGTGCGCACCTGAAACACTTTGGGACCGTGCTCAGACCAGCGGCTGGGTGGAGGGGAAAGTGGGGATTGCCACTGGGAGGGCCCGGCCGGGCACAGCAGTGTCCCCTCCTGACCGGAAAGGTGGCCACTCCTGGGCTTGCTTCCTTCAGTGAGCTGGACATCTATGTCTCATCCACAGCTGGATGTCCATGTCTCCCTACTAGTGCTTCTAGTACTTTCCACCCCCACACACATGCAAAAACAAGCAAATGTGCCTGGAAGGCTGCGTCCAGTCCCCACATTGGCCTGGTTTTTTCGGGGCCCACATTGTGGCAAAGCGGGTAAAGCCACCTGCAATGCTGCATGCTGTGGGCACTGGTTCCAGCTGGCTGCTCCGCTTCTGATCCAGCTCCCTGCTAACGGCCTGGAAAAGCAGTGGAAGATGGCCCAGGTGCTTGGGCCCCTGACACCCATGTGGGAAGAAGCTCTTGGCTCCTGGCTCCAGCCTGGCCCAGCCTTGGCTGTTGTAGCCATCTAGGGCATAAACCAGCAGGTGGAAGATCTCTCTCTATAACTCTGACTTTCAAATTAAAATAAATTAAAAATTTTTTTTTAATTTAAATAGTTGCCACCTACAAATCAAGAGGGGTCACGTAAAAATCTAGATTGCCAACTTGTCCTGGGACATGGGTCTGACTTCAGGGACCTTTTTCCACATGGTCACCATAGGCTGCACAGAGTAGCCACTGCCCCTTCCATACGCATGTGGCTCTCCAGCTGGCCATGGCTGCCTCTGTTCCAGGAGCAAAACCAGCTGTGAAATGAGGCCGAGATTAGAGGCAGTCAGAAGAGTCCTCAAAGTTGTAGCTTTCTTTTTGGGTAGGCAGTGGGGAATGGTGAGGACTGCGGCTTAGAGGGATACCCTGGTCCACTGCATGCTGTGGGCATTGGACTCTGCAGCCCCACTGCACCTGTGACTCTGGCCTTGGGCACACAACACCATGGCCTTGACAGTCTTTTCCTTTCAGACGCTGGGGAACCACACTCAGGACTCTGCTGGGCTGACTCAGCTGAGCCTCAATGCCGACAAGCTCCTCCCGGCATCGTCCTCCACCCCGCGGCCGCCTGGCCAGCCTCAGGACAGTGTGAACGGACCCTGCAACCAGCCCTCTGGGGACAAGGCCCTCCAAGTCACCGGCCCCCCAGAGGGGTCCCCTGCCGGCGACAAGGGTCTCGCGGCACCCGTGTCCCTTCGGAAGTCCCGGCCAGTGTCCATGGATGCGAGAATTCAGGTGGCGGAAGAGAAGCGAGTCACCGACCAGGGTGGGGACCTCGGCCCAGCGGCCAGCAGGTCCCAGAAGGCTGGCCAGAGCCGGCCCAACAGCAGCGCCCTGGAGACCTTGGGCGGCGAGAAGCTGGCCAATGGCAGTCTGGAGCCCCCAGCCCAGGCAGTTCCTTCCAGGCGGGATTCGGACAGTGGCAGCTTGTCCACCTCCGACAGCATGGACTACGGCTCCTCCCTGTCAGCAGACCTGGCCCTGAACAAGGAGACGGGCTCCCTGTCCATCAAGGTAATGCCCCACCCAGCACTGGGCCGAGGCCGGGAGCAGGGGCGTGGTGGGCGGTGCTGCCACTCAGCCTCGGTTTCCCAAAGCCTTTAGCTCCTGCTTTCTGTTTGGAGCACTTGCTTTAAATTGCTTTTTGGTGGATTCAGACTTTAATGTCTGGGTTCTTAATGGGATTCAGCAGTGTCAAGCGGTGGATCTGGGATCTGGGTTTACATTTCCAAGTTCGGAAACATTTTGGGAAGGAGGATTCTTGAAGTGGGTGTTTTCGTATTTGGAGGTCAGCCATGGATCCCGCCGGTGGCTGGCAGATTCCACGGAAGGAGGCGGGCTCGGGGCTCACATGCCTTGCTGGGGACCGGTCTGGAGGCGGTTACGTAAATGATGTGGCCATCACGCTGGGGACGGGGCTGGTGCTGTGGCACAGGTTAATCCTCCACCTGCAGTGCCGGCATCCCATATGGGCGCTGGTTCTAGTCCTGGCTGCTCCTCTTCCCATCCAGCTCTTTGCTATGCCCTGGGAAAGCCGTAGAAAGCTCCTGGCTCCTGGCTTCAGATAGGCGCAGCTGCAGCCGTTGCGGCCAACTGGGGCGTGAATCAGCAAATGGAAGACCTCTCTCTCTCTGCCTTTCTCTGTAACTCTACCTCTCAAATAAATAAAATCCCCCCCCCCAAAAAAAAAAGAGAGAGAGAGAGAGAGGGAGAGAGAGAGAGGCTACACCTGCCCTACAGAAAGCAATGCTTCTACATGAGCTGCTGTCCCCAGGAGGGTGGCTGTGGCCTCTGACAGCTTACAGGGTGTTTCATGAACAACCAGAGAGAGGCATGCAAGGCTCCAGACACAAAGACGTGACAAGGAGACGGGAGCTGCTCGCTGTCCTGACTTTATCGCCAAACCCCACAGGCGGTGAGGAATCAGCACGGTGCACTCCACCCATCTATACAGACTATGTGGCAGGGACAAGGGGGCACGAGCTGCGGCCCACGCCAGTCCTGCTGCCTCTGGGGATGGCTCGTTCTGCGCGGCACTGAGTGCTGGGCCTGCTGGCTTCACCGCTTTCCCTCTCCCTTCCACTTAGCAAACAGGCTCTGAGTCTCCTGTGTGCTTCTCACCGAGTAAACGCCAGGAGAAACAGAAAGACACGGTCCCTCCCCGACAATCCAGCTTGTCTGGGAGATCAGGTGGCGGACAACGAGCTTAGTAACAACACCCGGGGTCTCCTCCAGGCAGGCAGGGAAAGGCGTCAGCCCCTCTACAGCCCACGGGGGCGGGGGAGGCCAGTGCTCAGGCAGGATGGGGGCTCCTGGATTCTCTGAGCCTCTCTTTGCTTATCTGTCAATTGGGAGGATGGGGCAGACGCGCTGGGCAGAAGCGCGCAGGAGAGGGGAGCCCAGCCAGCAGGGAACGAGAGCCCTCTGCAGGCTGCTCATGCGGCGAGAGCTGGGCCTGGCACAGGCTTTGATCGCTCAGAGATCTGCCGCTGGGAGCCACCCAGGCCTGCTCACTCCCTTCTCAGGGGCTGGAAGGCCCTGGGGTTGTGTTGGAGAGGCAGGAAGGATTGTGCTGCCCCAGAAAGGGCCTTTGAAACCAGCCCAGACCTCAGAGGCGGTGGGCAGAATGGGGGAGGCCAGCAGGATGCCAGTGTCGGCCTGCACGCTGTCATCGGAACCAGAACCAAGGGCCTCCAGAGTCCCGTGTGCAGCAGCTCCTCCGGGAGGCTGGCAGTGCCCGGTCAGCACTTGCACTCTGGCCCCAGGTTGGGAAGCTTGAGGGACAGTGGCCAGCCACGTCCTCCCTGGGTGGGACTGACGCTGGTGGCGCCAACAGGGCCTCATCCCGGTGTCAGCCGTGGGCTCATAGCTGAAATGCTGAGCTTTGCCTAACGATCTTCCCTGGCCAGGACTCAAGGCTGCACAATAAAACCCTGAAGCGGACGCGCAAGTTTGTGGTGGATGGTGTGGAGGTGAGCATCACCACCTCCAAGATCATCAGTGAAGATGAGAAGAAGGACGAGGAGATGAGATTTCTCAGGCAAGCTTGAGGGCCCTGGCCGTGGTCGGAGGTCGGGGGCATGAGAGGGGCGGGCATCCTTCTGATGAGAAGACTGTACGTCTACAGCAGGAAGTGAGACACTCAAGGAGACAGAGGAAACTGATTATGTTTGAGATCCTGCACTCCCTCACGCATCTGCCATCCATTTGTCCGTCTATTCACCCACCCATCCATTCCAGGTAGCAACCCATCTATCCACTCATTCATCCATCCATCCACCCATCCACCCACCCATCTATCCACCCATTCATCTATCCATCCACCCACCCATCTATCCACCCATTCATCCATCCATCCATCCATCCATCCACCCATCTATCCACTCATTCATTCATCCATTCACCCACCCATCTATCCACCCATCATCTATCCATCCATCCAATCATGCAGCCACCCATTCATCCATCCATCCATTCACTCTTCCACCCATTGGTCCATCTACCTATCCATTCCACTCATCCTCATATCCCCTCATTTATGTGCTCAGTCTTCCATCCACCCATCCATCCACCCACCCATCCATCCATCCACCCACCCATCCACCCATCCATCCATCCACCCATCCACCCATCCACCCATCCATCCACCCATCCATCCATCCATCCATCCACCTCCCCATCCATGTATTTGTCCATTTACCATCTGTCCATTCACCCTCACTTCCAATTCATTCATCTGCTCAGTCATCTATCCATTCTCCCACCCACCTATCCACCAACCCACCCAGTCACCCACTCATCTACTCATCCATTTGTCCATCTCCCCATCCATCTACCTACTCCCCTACCCACACATTCATCTACACATGGATCCACTCACCAAGCCGGGGACAGGTTGGTATCCCAGGTAGATGAGGTGGGGCAGTATGCAGTACACAAGGTGACTCCAGGCTGTGGGACAGTCTGTGAAGGAAGTGATGGGCAATACAATAGTGAGTGCGTGGGCTGCAGGAGGCTGCTGAAGGGTTACCCCCTGAGCCACGTGGGCCTGACAGGTGAGAGGAACCAGCCACGCACAGAGTGGGGTCCCTGAGGAGTGACCACAGGGCTTGTTTAAGGACCTGAAAGGACAGAGCTGGAGCATGGACCATAAGGGGCCAAGGGAGTGGGTGGGACCCCCTCACGCAGGCTGTGCAGGCCGGGGAGGTACTGTTGGCACCTGGCTGCCTGCCTCCTTTCGGTGTTCCTGTTTTGGGTGTCTCTTGATTGTTCCCTAAGCCATCGTTTTCTCTTGAATCAGGATTTCTCTTTTGTTGCCACCCTGGAGCATTGCCTTGTCTACGTTTTCACTTCCCAGAAGAGCAGATGCTCAGACAGCAGCCTCCCTGTGTGGCTGTAGAAAGGGTCTCTGGCTCTCCCCGGGGACCTGAGCAGCCACCGCCTCTTCTTCCTTGTCCCCGGGGCAGCCTCGGCTGATGGCATGTTGGCCGTGGCCCCGCAAGCACTTGGCGAGCATCCTCTGCTTTGTTCCTCAGGGGAGCTGAGCAGGAGAGAGGCTTTGCCTCATTTTACAGGCCAGGGAAGAGAGGCCCGCCAAGAAGGGGTGACTCCCCGACTTGGTGCTGGGCTGGCACATCACCAGCACTGAGATTCAAACGAGATCTGTGACCCCAGGGAATGTTCTTGGTCCCTCTTCCCGGCAGGGCCTCTCATCCTGCAGCTGTGGTTGGGCAGCTTCATGAGCAGGTGCAGCCCTGCTGGGCCGTGTGGAAGGCCAGCTGGGGCGGGCCTGTGGCCTCGCAGTGGGAATCCCAGGGTACAGACTGGAAGCCGGCCTGGATGGGAGCAAGGCCTAGCCAACCTCAATACTGCACGACCACCAGGGGGCGCCTGACTCAAGTCCCAACTTCTTTTTTCTGCAGCTTTGGCTTTTTCTTTACATGTCTCATTACACAATGACAGGAATTCTTAACGCACTTGCCCAGCAAGAAGCACCAGTGACCTTGGGGCCTATCTGAGTGCACACAAAATTAGAAAATTAAGGTGTACTGCATGGTTGCAGTCAAATTCTTACTCTGTTTTTAAAAATGTATAATAGAATGTCATGATTCAAATAATCCAAAAGTTGTACTTTCGAAATTTATATTTATTAAATAAAAATTTTCTAAAAAAAGAAAAAAAATAATGTCACAAAATTAAAAAAAAAGAATGTCATGATTCAAAATTAAAAAAAAAAAAAAAAGAGGAAGAAGCTAAAGAGTGAAAACTCTCCCTCCTTCACCTCGCTGCCAGAAATTCAGGTCCCCTCCCTGTGTTAATATTTTGTGATGTATTCAGCCCAGAAACTCTCCGTGTTAGACAGGAAAGTCAGCTCCCAGACACGTGTGCACACGCCTGTAGCGCCTGCTGGCTTTTTTTTTTTCCCACCCAAATGATAGGCTTGCGTAACAGACCACAGCTTCTCAGACCGGGACGTCATCGCGTACCTGTTTATAAAGAATTGTATTTGAGTAGATGTTTTCCTGTGCTTCTCCCTTTTTCTAAAACTTGATTCTAAAGAGAATTGTATATAGAATTCCATCATGTGGCTATACATATAATTTTAAATTTTTGTTGATTTTGTTTGAGAGGCAGAGACACAGAGATAGATGGAGAGACATGCCCCCAAACCATTTGACTCACTCCCCCAAGTGCCCACAAGAGCTGAGGCTGGACCAGACCAGAGCAGGTGCTAGCAGCTCCTCCTGGACGTCACAAGTGGATGGCAGGGACCCAGTCCTTGCCTTCTCGAGTCTGTGTCAGCAGGAAGCTGGAATCAGGAGCAGAACCAGGACCCAAACCCATATACACCAGCAGGCATGTTAGCTGGTACACTAAGTGCTCACCTCCACATGGATATGTTTTAATGGACTTACCTGGACTGCTATTCGTGGATGTTTATTTCTAATTCTGTATTATTATAAAAATATTGTTATACACTTCCTTATTCCATGGTGTGGGATAAGGAATTCTTTCCAATCAATACCCGGAAGCGGGACCACTTTGCCAAAAGCGGGACTGGTGTTGTGACGGAGAGGGTAATGCTTGTGATGCCAGCGTCCCGTATGGGCACCGGTTTGTGTCCCGGCTGCTCCACTTCCTATCCAGCTCCCTGCTAATGCACCTGGGAAAGCAGCAAAGCCTGGCCCAAGTGCGTAGGCCCCTGCACCCACATGGAAGACCTGGATGAAGTTCCTGGCTCCTGGCTGCAGCCTGGCACAGCCCTGACTGTTGTGGCCATGTAGGGAGTGAGCCAGCAGATGAAAGATCTCTCTCCCTCTCTCTCTCTTCCTGTAACTCTGCCTTTAAGTACATAAATACACCTTTAAAAAGCAAGGAGACATACAATGGCTGGCACATTGCCTGGCATGGAAGCTGTGCCACCCTTCATCCACTAGCGTATATCGGGTTCCCCTCTACGCCTGCCCGTGTGAGTTCCTGGAAACGTAACTCGAGTTTGCATTTCACACCCCTGTAGGTGATTTTAAAATTTCTTCCTGACCTTTGTTTCTTCCCCCCCTTTCTTCGGCGAGGGCCTTTACATACGTGATTGGTGTCTCGTCTCCCAGTAAGTGTCCCACAAGCCCGCGTTCTAGCCGTGCCTCTGTCTGAGGCTTGGTGTGACCCTGCCCATGACCTGGCCCTCGGCGGCTCAGGCTGTGACGGCGGGGCCCTCCGCGGCCGCCTTCTCACCGTGCAATCTTCGTGTCCGTGGACCCCGCAGGCGCCAGGAGCTCCGAGAGCTGCGGCTGCTCCAGAAGGAAGAACACAGGAACCAGAGCCTGCTGAGCAGCAAGCATGAGCTGCAGCTGGAGCAGATGCACAAACGCTTCGAACAGGAGATCAGCGTGAGTGCGCGGGAGACGGCGCCCCGAGGCCTCACGCTTCCGGGTGGCCCCAAGAGGAAGTCGTGGAGTGGGGCAGAGGAGAGTCATTCAGGACCACCGCCCAGTTCCTGTGATCCCCCCGTGTCGCCAGGCAGCGACTTGTAACCGTGGAATCCCACGCAGGGCCTGGGGGGCCGATGAGCCATACGGGGGGCCTCCCAAGAGGAAGAGACCCTCGCCCAGCACCCTGCGACAACCCTGCGGCATTGACGCTCTGGTCTCCCTTTTGTACTTCTGGTTCAGAGAGCATCAGTGACTTGCCCCGGACCACCCAGGAGCTGGGATTCAAACCCAGCTCCGAGCTCTCCCCGTCTCCCTCCCGGATCCAAAGTGGCTCTGCTGATTTCTCTGAACTTCTGCCCCTTCCAGGCCAAGAAGAAGTTCTTCGACACGGAGCTGGAGAACCTGGAGCGCCAGCAGAAGCAGCAGGTGGAGAAGATGGAGCAGGACCACGCCGTGCGCCGCCGGGAGGAAGCCAAGCGCATCCGCCTCGAGCAGGACCGGGACTACGCCAGGTTCCAGGAGCAGCTCAAAGTGATGAAGAAGGAGGTGACCGTGCTGGGCGGAGGCGCGGGGGTCCGGGAGGCCGAGGATCCCTTCGCTGCGAGCGAGGGGAACCCCTGCTGTCCTTGCCTCAGCGACAGAGCCGGATCGCGGAGGTGCAGGTGTGTCCCGGTCTGCACGTGTCAGCCGTGCCCTTGGCAGCTGCCAACCCCTTATGCACCCTGGGAGGGTCCAGGAACCGGAGCTGGCAGCAGGCGGGAGGAGACCAGCAGGTGCCACTCCGCCAGAGGGGCACGCCTGGAGGGCCGAGCCTTGGCCCTGGGCCCCCTGGCCCGGGAGGCCTGGGGTGGCAGACTCGTGTTGTCGGAGGCGTGGCAGGTGCTCTGATGGCTCCTTCCGTGCCCTTTGGCGCAGGTGAAGAACGAGGTGGAGAAGCTGCCCCGGCAGCAGCGGAAGGAGAGCCTGAAGCAGAAGATGGAGGAGCACGCGCAGAAGAAGCAGCTCCTCGTGCGTATTCTGCCCTCAGCCGGGGAGCCGAGGGCTCGGGGTGGTGGTCCCAGTGTTGACACCCTGCGTGGCAACCAGGACCCCTGTTTATCTGTGCTGAGGCCCTGTCCCTCAAATGCCTGAATCCAGTCCATCCCTATGGCCCCCAGTTGTCACCTGCTCCATGCAGCCTTCTCTAATTGCCCGCAGCACAGCTGGAAGTGAGCTCACTCGTCGCTGAACACCTCAGCCAGCTGTACTGACCCTCCCCACCCCAGAGCCCCAGCTCCTGCTGCATTTGAGGGTTGTTTGTCTGCCTGTCCAGCTCAGACTGTCACCTGCCCACCGAGGCCTACGTGGCCGTCCGCCCGTCCCAGTGAGGAGCAGCTCGTGCCCTCTCAGTCACTTCTCGACCCCACTGATCATTCTAAATTAAATACAGATGTCGGGGCAGGCGTTTGACCTTGTGGACAAGACACCTGTGTCCCACGTCAGCGCTCGTGTTTGATCCCTGCTCTGGCTCCTCGTTCCAGCTTCCTACTGATGCACACCTGGAGAGAGCAGCGATGGCTCAAGTGTTTGGCTCCTGCCGCCCACGTGGGAGACCTGGATTGAGTTTCCAGTCCCACTTTCACCCCCGAGCCCAAGGACATTGTGGGCACCTGGGGACTGAGCAGAGAATGGGAGTTCTGTCTTCTGTTTTTTTTGTTTTTTTTTTTTTTTAATTTGAAATTCAGAGTTAGAGAGAGAGATCTTCCATCCCCTGGTTTACTCCTGAGATGGCCACAATGGCCAGTGCTGGGCCAGGTCAGAGCCAGAAGCCAGGAGACCAATCACTTGGGCTATCTTCTGCTTTTCCCAGGCCATTAGCAGGGAGCTGGATCAGAGTTGGAGCAGCCAGGACTTGAACTGGTGCCCGTATGTGACAGCAGCATCACAGGTGGCAGCTTTATCTGCTGTACCACAGCACCGGCCCCCATCTGTCTTTCAGATATAAATCAATCAATCCCAGACATCACTTTACCTGTAAACATCTCAGACATCAGAAAAATACCACAATAACATAAACAAACCTAAACATATTTTTAAGATACTGTGAGGTTTTTTTTAATGTTTTTTTTTTATTTATTTGAAAGGCAGACTCCAGAGAAAGGTAGAGGTATCTTCCAGCCACTTGTTCACTCCCCAGCTGCCTGCAACAGCCAGGGCTGGGCCAGGCCAAAGCCAGGAGGCTGGAACCCTGTTCAGGCCTCCCATAGAGCAGCAGGGCCTCACGCACTTGAGCCTCATCTGCTGCCTCCCAGGATGCATTAGCAGGAAGTTGGGTTGGAAGTGCAGCAGCCAAGACTGGAACCAAGCACTCTGCTATGGGATCCCGGCATCCCACGCAGCAGCTCAGTGCCCTGTGCCACCGCACCCACCCCTGCACCCAAAACCCCGCGACAGTGCTTGCTGAGTCACAGCGTGTTGGCGGGCACGTCAGTATCCGTGTTCCCGCTGTCTCCTGAAGGCCATCCTGACTGCGTTTTGTTTTTAAGCAGTGTGTTTCCTCCTGGGTCTGCGGGAAGCCCTCGTGAAGTAGTTGGTTGATGAGCTTCTGCATCTCTCTTGACTTCTGCCTCTGCGCATTTTCCTCTTCGTTTTCTAAGCTTTCTTCTCGGACCATGCCGACTTCGTCCTGTAATAGAATAGCGTTGGGGTGGGCTGTGGGCCTGGCAGGTAAGACACCTGTGTCCCAGATCAGAGTGCCTGGGTTGGATTCCCAGCTCTGGCCCCGGACTCCAGCTTCCCGCTAACTGGGCTCTGGGAGACGGTAGTGACGGCTGAAGTGGCTGGGTTCCTGCTTCTCATGTGGAACACCTGAACTGAGTTCCTGGCTCCCAGCTCCAGCCCTGCCCCAGCCTCGGCCTTTCAAGAGCATTTTGGGGGAGCGAATCGGCAGATGGGAACTGTACGTGTGCACGCGTGTGTGTGTCTCTGCTTCTTGCTTTCCCCATCTCTTTGCTTCTCAAGTTAAAAAAAATTTAATTGTAAAATCAAATAATGTTGGGCTGTCCCCAAGCCAGCTCTGTCCTCCCCCGTCCCCCCGCAGGACCGGGACTTTGTAGCTAAGCAGAAGGCGGACCTGGAGCTGGCCATGAAGAAGCTGACCTCCGACAACCGGCGGGAGATCTGCGACAAGGAGCGCGAGTGCCTGGGCAGGAAACAGGAGCTCCTTCGAGGTGGGCACCTGGGTGCGAGGGACCCTGTCTGGGCCCCGCATCACAGTGCAAAGAAGCCGCAGTCCCGGGCAGTGGGTGGGCGGGTCTTCCCCATGCTTGAAGCGAACACCACCCCGGTGCTGAGCCCCATGGGGAACCCCGCTGATGCCGCTGTCACCAGCGCTGTTCGACATTGTTCCGGAAGTCAAGGGAAACAGGACAGGAAGTCTTGTAGAGCCGGGGGCCAGGGTGGTGGAAGTCAAGGGAAACAGGACAGGAAGTCTTGTAGAGCCGGGGGCCAGGGTGGTGGAGGCCGGATGGAGAGCCCCATCCCACCAGCTGTCACCCGCAGTACGACCGCTGTGCCGGGCTGTGGGCCGTTGGCCAGTCAGCTTGCACCAGGGTCTTACACGAGGGGGTCCTTGGGCCGAGGGTCCTTGGTCTGAGCTGCTCTGACAAAGTTCCATGGCCTGGGTGCTTTATGCTCGGCAGAAATTTATTTCTCACTTGTCTGGAGGCTGGTGAGGACCTGCTTCTGCACCTCCCGGCTGCAGTATCCCTATGTGGTATCCCCTGGGCCTCCCTCCTTGGCCTCCAGTCCCAAGCATCAGGGCTTCCTAACCACTTCCAAAGGCCCCAGTGGCCGTGGGAGCTAGACTCACAGCATTTGAAGGGGAAGGGACAGCACCCAGCCATTCAGACCCCACACCCAGGCTGCTCTTCACCCCGGGGGTGTAGTGAGTGCCGGGGGCTCACGACTGATGGGGGACAGAGCCGTGGCCACGTGATGGCAATGACGTCCGGTGAGTGCTTGGACGGTGGTCAGGCAGGTCTGCCGGCTGGGCCGGGCGCTGCCCACATGATGCCTACCGGGGGTGATGGTGCAGCCCGCTACCGGAGACGGGGAAGGGACCAGAGAGGGGTCTGCTGGCTCCATGATGTTGCCCAACAAGGGGCTTGGAGAGGGAGGCTCTGGGTCTGAAAACCTAGCTGTTGGTGCAGTTCCATGGGGTCTGCAAAGTAGGTAGGGTGGGGGCAGGCGTTGTGGCACAAGGGGTTAAAGCTGCTGCTTAGGATGCTTGCGTCCCGTGTTGGGAGTGCCTGTTCCAGTCCGGTATCTTTTTTTCCTTTTTTTTTTGACAGGTAGAGTTATAGACAGTGAGAGAGGGAGAGACAGAGAGAAAGGTCCTCCCTCCGTTGGTTCACTCCCCAAATGGCCGCTACGGCCGGCGTGCTGTGCTGATCCAAAGCCAGGAGCCAGGTGCTTCCTCCTGGTCTCCCATGCGGGTGCAGGGCCCAAACTCTTGGGCTATCCTCCACTGCCTTCCCGGGCCACAGCAGAGAGCTGGACTGGAGGAGGAGCAGCCGGGACTAGAACCCAGCACCCATATGGGATGCTGGCGCCGCAGGCGGAGGATTAACCAAGTGAGCCACGGCGCCGGCCCCCAAGTCCTGGTATCTCTTGCTTCCTGCTGATGCACCTCCGAGGCAGCAGATGATGGCTCGAGTGCTTGGGCCCCTGCTACCTGTGGGGGAGACCCAGGTGGAGTTCCTGGCGCCTACCTGTATCCTGAGCCAGCCTTGGCTAGTGAGGGCATTGGGGGGGTGAACACATGGATGGAAGATCTCTCTCTGTTATTCTGCCTTTCAAGTAGATGAAAATTTAAAAAAAGAAGCCCCACCCATCCCCCCGAGGATGTTTCCTCCCTCCGTGGTTCAGTTGTGTTATTTTGTGGAGGCGGAAGCTGGGTCCCGGGGCGCTTTCTCATCCAACCCAAACGACAGAGCTGGGCGCAGCCGATGTCTGGTTTCCCTGATGCCTGAACCCTGGAGCTCGCTCTTCATGCGCTCCTGAGAGCTGGGCTTCAGGGAAGTTAGGAGGTGTAGGGTAGGGGCTTGTGCCCAATCCCCTGTGCCCAGCAGCTGGCTGATGAGCTGCAGGATGGGGGGCGGCTGCGGGTCCCTGGCCTGCCTGCACCTCACCTGTGGGCGTGCCCTGTGCAGAGCGGGAGGCGGCCCTGTGGGAGATGGAGGAGCACCAACTGCAGGAGAGGCACCAGCTGGCCAAGCAGCAGCTGAAGGACCAGTACTTCCTGCAGCGGCACGAGCTGCTGCGCAAGCACGAGAAGGTGAGGCTGCGGGGCGGGGCCGGGCGGCTGCGGGGCGGGGCTGGGCGGCTGCGGGGCGGGGCCGGGTGGCTGCGGGGCGGGGCCGGGCGGCTGCGGGGCGGGGCTGGGCGGCCACCTCGTGGGTACAGCCTGCGCCCCCAAGAGGGGCCCCGTGTGACCACAGGGAGGCCCCTGGAGGCTCTCCATGTGGGCTGCTTTGGCTGGAGGGGCCGGGAACCGGGGAGACGGGGCAGGGAAGCAGGGGGCCCCTGCGGCTCCCCCCCCTTTCCAGCACCTACAGTGTATCTCCATCTCACCTTCTGTTCTCTCTGCTCCCTGTTCTTGCCAGTTTCTCTCCTTCCATGCCTTCCCTTGGGAAGCTGGTAGCTTTGCCCTTAGACTCCCCAGACCTGGCAGGGGCCCTTGCTGTGTGGCCAGAGCTCCCTCAGTGTCTGACTCCCATAGCGGGAACGGGGATGGATTAACCATGGTCTGCACACACAGCAGCTGGGGGAGAACTCCAGTGTCTCATCTCAGTGCAGTGATGGGAGCCAGTGTAGTGTCTTGGAGCTCACAATAAGGGTGCCCAGTCAGCACAGAAGCCAGGGGAGGCTTCTTGGAGGAGGCAGTGCCCATGCTGGGTTTTGAAATACAAATAGTTGTTAGGGGAAGAAAAAAATTCCAATTTATGAAGACTGTTTAACATATGAATCTACATCTGCCATCAGTGATGGTGGGCCGTTCCTTTTCCCGTACATTTTGCTTAGAGACACTAGCTGGTGGTGGCATGCCGTGATCAGTTACGTGAGAAAGCCTTTATGAGCTAAGAATCCAAAAGTCTGTTAACAACAAAAGTCGTGCCACAGCAGGTTAAAGCCACTTGCCACACCCACATCCCATAGCAAATCCCGGCTGCTCCGCTCCCAGTCCAGCTCCAAGCTAATGCACCTGGGAGGCAACAGAAGATGGCCCAAGTGCTTGACCCCTACAACCAGGTGGGAGACCTGAAAGAAACTCCTGGCCTAGCCCAGCCACAGCCATAGCCATTGCAGCCATTTGTGGAGGAAACTAGTCGATGGAAGATCTCTCTCTGTCTCCCTCTCCCTCCCTCCCTTTCTCTCCTCTTTTTTCTCTCAGTCACTTTGCCTTTCAAATAAAAAAAAAAGTGGGTGCTCTCCTACTTGCAAAGGGGCTGCATCCCAGTGACGCTATCAGAAGTTGAGGATATCGCGGAGTTGGAGGTGTGTTCAGAGCCCCCCATCTGCAGAACGTCACAGCTTGGCTTAGCCTGCCTGAGACCTGCGCATGAGCCCGCAGCCGGGCGGAGTCCCCTAACAAGAAGCCTGTTTTATGACGGTACTCCCAGAAGTCTGGAAAAATGCATTTGAGAGCTCAGTTTATTTTGGTGCAAAAAAAAATGTTTGCAATTCATCATATTGCTTTTTTCTTATAATATATATATATTTTTGTGAACTTTCTGCAGACTTCTTGAATGCAGATTTCAAAAAACCTTTTGCACCAAAACAAGCTTATTTTTCAATTCCATTTTCCACAAACTGGAGGCTCCCTCGTATGGTGAAGTGTTGAGTATCTCCACGTGCAGCTGTGGCTTGTGTCACAGGAGAGCATCGCACTGCATGTCCCGGGAAAGATCCGAACCCAGAATTGGAAGTGTGGTTTCCGCTAAATGCATGTTGCTTTTGCACCATGCACGTTGCTTATGCACCATTGTGTAGAAGTCAGAGAAGACTCGCTGTGCCAAGCACCCTGGGCCGTGGGGGCGCTGGAATCCCCGAGGTGGCCTCCAAGTGCCTGGAGCCCAGCTGACCTGGGCCCGGCTGGTGTCCCTGTCAGGAGCGGGAGCAGATGCAGCGCTACAACCAGCGCATGGTGGAGCAGCTAAAGCTGCGGCAGCAGCAGGAGAAGGCGCGGCTGCCCAAGATCCAGCGCAGCGAGGGCAAGACGCGCATGGCCATGTACAAGAAGAGCCTGCACATCAACGGCGGGGGCAGCGCCGCCGAGCAGCGCGAGAAGATCAAGCAGGTGGGGGGGCCCAGCGGGGCCCTGGGGGTGGGCGATGTGAAAGGGAGGATGCGGCACAGGCTCCCAGAAAGGGGCCTGCCAATCACAGGTCAGGGCCTGCAAGCTTCCTTGGGCTCATGGGGAATCCACCTCCCCTTGGGGGAGAGAGGACCCGGGCCTTGCGCTGTGGTCTTTGTCGTACGCTGGTCCCTATCACACCACAGCCGGGCCCCTGGCCCTGTGAGGCACCCGTCTTCTGCTGGTTAGCTTCTCCCTCCCACCCCAGGCTCCGCTCGCAGGAGTCCATGGCCCTGGGTGCCTGTGATTCCTCCGTGGTACACATTGTCCGAGCAGCGTGGCGTCCCTGCCAGCCTGGGGGCCCCAGAGGGCAGGGGCTGAGTCTTTGCTCAGGGTGAGGACTTAAGGCAGTGTTGGGGGGGGGTCACAGGTGCATCCCCCTGATGGGCCCCGCCAGGCAGGGCTGAAGGAGAGCAGCCAGGCTCCTGTCCGCCTGAGGCACCCTTTCTCTCTCTCTCTCTCTCTCTGTCTCTCTCTCTGGGGCAGTTCTCCCAGCAGGAGGAGAAGAGGCAGAAATCGGAGCGGCTCCAGCAGCAGCAGAAGCATGAGAACCAGATGCGGGACATGATGGCGCAGTGTGAGAGCAACATGAGCGAGCTGCAGCAGCTGCAGGTAGGGGCCGCCCCCCACCCCCACCCCCGCCTCTCTGCTGCCTCCGTTTCCCCAAGCCGGCAGTGCTCGGGGGCCAGTGGCTCCACCAGCAGGGGCGGGCCCGGGTACGCTGGCTCAGCCCTGCAGTGCCGGTCTCAGGCCGAGTGACGTTTGGCAAAGCACATCACGTGTCCACACCATGGTCCTCACGTCCCTTAGATGGGCTTAGGTGGGGTGGTGACTCCTATTTTGCAAGATTAAAGTGAGGATTTGTAAAGGAAATGATGTTGCTGAAATGCAAGCTTGCGTTTCCCAGTCCCTGCCGTGTCCCGGGAGACGCTGTCTCCTGATGCCTGCTTTTCCACTGGAAATCCCTGGCCTCTCTCCATGTCCTCAGTTTACTGGGCTTGTCCTGCTCAGGAGGGGCCCTGCCCCAGGAGCAGGTACTTGGAGCCCCCTTGTGGTAGAACAAGGCAGTGTCGCAGCAGAGGGATGGGGCTGACAAACCTCTATGGGCCTCAGGCCGTGACTAAGCTACTGGACCCACCTGGCAGTTCCTGGAGAGGCAGGGGGTGCGGAGGAGGCATCATAGGGGGTGTTGTTTGCCACTGTGCATTTTACTTTATTTTAAGATTTATCTATTTATTTGAAAGAGTGATGGAGGGAGAGAGAGGAAGAAAGAGAAAGACATCTTCTGTCTGCTGGTTCATTCCCCCGATGCCTGTATCAGCTGGGCCGAAGCCAGGAGCCCAGAGCTCCATCAGGGCCTCCTTCTTGGGAGGCAGGGGCTGTCTTCTGCTGCTTCCCAGGCGCATTACAGGGAGCTGGGTCAGAAGTGGAGAAGCTGGGGCTCAAACTGTGGGATGCAGGTGGGCCCAAGTGCATCACAGCACTGGCCCTGTGAATTTTAGTTAAGCCACTCTCCTCACCCTGTGCTTCCCCATCCTTGACCCCGGAGGGCTGACGGAGAACTCCTATCAAGTCCCGAGTTCTGCTCCGGGCCAGATCATGGGAATTCAGTGCTGCACCGAGTGTTGTTCCTACTGATCCAGTTTCCAGATTCCCCAGGGCCAGCGTTTGGCACAGTGGTTGAGTCACTGCCTAGGATGCCTACACCCCACACTGGAGTGGCCGGTTCGAGTCCCAGCTACTCCACTTCTGATCCAACTCCCTGCTAATGTCCACCCTGGTGGGCAGTAGATGATGGCTCAAGTACGTGGGCCCCTGCCACCCATGTGGGAGACCCCCACTGGTTCCAGTCTGCTGGCCCAGTCCTGTCTGTTGTGGACATTTGGGTAGTAAGCCAGCAGACAGAACATCTTTCTTGGCGCTTGGGTGTAGCAGGTTAGGATGCCTCCTGCAGCCCCAGCATCCCATATGGGTGTCAGTGCAAATCCCAGCTGCTCCACTTCCGATCCAGCTCTCTGCTATGGCCTGGGAAAGCAGCTGAAGATGGCCCAGGTGCTTGGGCCCTGTACCTACATGGGAGACCCAGAAGAAGCTCCTGGCTCCCGGCTTCTGCCTGGCCAAGCCCTAGCCATTGAGGCCATTTGGGGAGTGAACCAGCAGGTGGAAGATATCTCTCTCTCTCTCTCTCTCTGTAACTCTGCCTTTCAAATAAATAGCATAAATCTTTTTTTTTTTTTTTGACAGGCAGAGTGGACAGTGAGAGAGAGAGACAGAGAGAAAGGTTTTCCTTTGCCGTTGGTTCACCCTCCAATGGCCGCCGCGGCCGGTGCGCTGCGGCTGGCGCAACGCGCTGATCCGATGGCAGGAGCCAGGAGCCAGGTGCTTTTCCTGGTCTCCCATGGGGTGCAGGGCCCAAGCACCTGGGCCATCCTCCACTGCACTCCCTGGCCACAGCAGAGGGCTGGCCTGGAAGAGGGGCAACCGGGACAGAATCCGGCGCCCCGACCGGGACTAGAACCCGGTGTGCCGGCGCCGCAAGGCTGAGGATTAGCCTAGTGAGCCGCGGCGCCGGCCAGCATAAATCTTTAAAAAAAGAAAAAAAATCTCTCTCCATCTCTGTCTCTTTCATGTAAATATGGGGGAAAAATCCCTGTTGTATTTGAAACCCAAAATAAAAGTCGTCCAAGGGGTTCTGCTTTTCCATCCTGGAATGTCTCTTGTAGGCAGAGTGATAAGTCCTTGTTGATGCCTTGCAAGGACTCAGCCTTGCTGTAAGAAATGTAGGAAACGGGCAAGTGGCAGTGCACATACCGTGTGTCAACTCATCAGAGAGTGCCTGGTGGACGTTGGGAGGGTCTCAGCTGTGTCCGTGGCCTTCATCTCTCCTGGGGAAATGGTGGGCGATGCAGGACATTCTGCATGTCATCACGCATCATCATATGTACGGAGGGTCTCAGTCTGCTCGGGCTGGCCTCGGGAGCACTGGAGCCTGGGTGGCTCACACAGCTGACCTTGCCTTTCCCAGTTCTGGAGGCTGCAAATCCCAGGGCAGGATGCCAGCAGGGTCAGCTTCCAGTGCCAGGGAGAGCCCCTTCCTGGCTTGCAGATGGCAGCCTTCTCACTGTGTCCTCAGATGGCAGAGTGAAAAGAGAGAGAGCGAGAGCGAGAGCGGGAGAGAGCGTTCACTGGCAGGCACGTAAGTGTCTTTTCAGGCACTGGTCCCATCCTGAGGCCCCGTCTCAGCCCAACACTGCCCATCGGCAGCCGGAGCTTCATGTTACTCCACTTCCATGACCTTAAATTAAAAAACAAAACAAAACAAAAAAAAAAAACGGAGGACCTTCTTGGGAAAGGAAAAGTTTGTTTCAGCTTACAGTTCGGAGGCTATGCTTCAGGGTCAGGTGGCCCTAGAGGCTGTTTCTGGTTGAGTCATGGCAGGTGCAGAGGAGCAAGGCAGACAGAGAGAGAGAGAGAGAGAGAGAGAGAGAGAGAGAGAATGTTGATTGTCCATCTGCTGGTTCCCTCCCCAAATGCCTGCAACAGCCAGGGCTGGGCCAGGCTGAAACCAGGAGCCCAGGTCTCCATCCGGGTCTCTCACATGGGTGGCAGGAGGGCCATCTTCTGCTGCTTTCCCGGGCACATTAGCAGGGAGCTGGACTGGAAGCTGAGCGGCCAGAACTCCAATCCGCACTCCAGTATGGGACACTGGCCTCGTAACACAGTGTTTTTTCTAATTGTTAGACTCGGAAGCAGCCTGAGGGGCCAACAACAGTGTTGAAGTAAATTGGACTGATGCACACCATGAGAGATTCTGCGGCCAGTAGGCTGCTGCATATGAAAAACAGGAACTCTTTGCAGAAATGCTCGCGTGTTCATGTGAAGTGGGAGGACGGGAGGAACACACAGGACGAGCCGAGCCTGGCAGGAAACACAGCCGCGTGCTGCCAGTGCTTGCTCCTGTATGGTGCAGCTAGGGCGCATGCTCAGTGTATATACGATGAATAGTTTCAACAAAATTAGATTTGTTCATTTTGGAAAATTCAGGCAATGCAGCAAATTACAAAGAAGAGAGTTGCAAAGTTATTGCAGGTCCCACCGTGGACTTAGTAACAGCCTTCAAGTTAGCGTTCTGGAATAGCCCTCCAGGCCCCTCTTGGTGCACGTGTGTTTACGCGTGGAGTCCTGTGCAGGAGAAGGAATAAAGGAACGATGCCCGTGCCCTGTGGCTGCGGCCTGGGGCGTGTGTCAGCCCAATGCTCTGCCTTCGGGTTTTCTCACCTGTTCTGCTTGGGGTTTGTTCCAGAATGAAAAGTGCCACCTCTTGGTAGAGCACGAAACCCAGAAGCTGAAGGCCTTGGATGAGAGCCATAACCAGAACCTGAAGGAGTGGCGGGACAGGCTTCGGCCACGCAAAAAGGTAAGCGTGTCAGGGCCGGCTGGCCCCGTGCCACACTGCGCCGTGGGTCAGGGTCTGGGACATCCTGGATCTTCTTATTTTGTGAACTCTGGCTTTGTGGCCTCCATAAAAAGGAATTCCAGCCTGAGAGGAAACCACTTTTTTGAAAAAAATTTTTTTAATGTCTTTTTTTTTTTAAGATTTATTTTATTTATTTGAAAGACAGTGTTACAAAGGTAGAGACAGAGAGAGAGAGAGAGGTCTTCCATCTGCTGGTTCACTCCCCAAATAGCCATAACGGCTAGGCCTGGGCCAATCCGAAGCCAGAAGCCAGGAGCACTGACACAACACAAATCCTCTATTTTATTAAACCTTGACCTTCAAGGACATGGCTCCTTCATGCTTTGTGTGTTGAAACATGAAGTACACGTAACGTGAGCTTGTACAGTGTGCCCACATACCACGGTCTCCAGGGAGGTTCTTGTCCCGTCGTGTGAGCTGTGAGCTCAACTAACCACTTTTTTCAGGGAACACTATTTATTTATTTATTTTATTATGTATTTATTTAAATGGAGAGGCAGAGGGGTGGGTGCGGTGGCAGAGTAGGTTAAGCATCCACCTGCGGTGTTGGCATCTCATATGGGTACCAGGGCATGTCTCAGCTGCTCCACTTCCGATCCAGCTCCCTGCTGATGGCCTGGGAAAGCAGTGGAAGATGGCCCAAGTACTTGTGCCCCTGTACCCACGTGGGAGACCAGGAAGAAGCTCCTGGCTCCTGGCTTTGGATCAGCCCAGCTCCAGTCGTTGCCGCTGTTTGGGGAGTGATCCAGTAGATGGAAGACCTCTCTCTATGTCTTTCTCTCTCTCTGTTTATAACTCTGCCTCTCAAGCAAATTAATCTTTAAAAAAAAAATCAAAACAAACAGAGGGGCCAGCACTGTGGCATAGCGGGTAAAGCCACTGCCTACAGTGCCACCATCCCATATGGACACTGGTTTGAGTCCTGGCTGCTGTACTTCTGATCCAGCTCTCTGTTATGGCCTGGCAGAGCAATGGAAGATGACTCAACTCCTTGGGCCCCTGCTCTTGCATGGGAGACCTGGGAGAAGCTCCTGGCTCCTGGCTTCGGCTAGGCACAGCTTCAGCCATCAGAGCCATCTGGGGAGTGAACAAGCAGATGGAAGACCTCTCTCTCTCTCGCTCTCGCTCTCTCTGCCTCTCTGCCTTTCAAATAAATAAATAAATAAGTAAATCTTTTTTTTTAAAAAAAAAAAGAAGGTAGATTTAAAAAAAAATGAGAAGCAGAGATAGTCAGCTACACACACACACACACACAGAAGCAGAGCAAGAAAGAGCACTCTATGCACTGGTCCACTCCACAAATGTGTGCAATAGTTGGGGCTGGACCAGGCTGAAACCAGGAGCCAGAACTTAATCTGGGTCTCTGGGTCTCTAATATGGGTGGCATTTTTAAAACTAGGAGTCCACAGCAGAGAAAAATACTCACCCAGTTGGGTGCCATTGTCTTAATATTCTTTAGCTACACAAGTTTTAACCATCGTTATTTCTTATTTTTTTTAAAGATTTATTTGTTTATTTGAAAGGCAGAGTTACAGAGAGGCAGAGAGAGAGAGAGGTCTTCCATCCGCTGGTTCATTCCCCAAATGGCCGCAACAGCCAGAGCTGGGCCGATCTGAAGCCAGGAGCCAGGAGCCTCTTCCAGGTCTCCAACTCGGGTGCAGGGGCCCAAGGACTTGGGCTATTCCTCCATTGCTTTCCCAGGCCACAGCAAAGAGCTGGATGGGAAGAGGAGCAGCTGGGGCTCAAACCCGCATCCAGTTGAGACACCTGCAATGCAGGAGGCAGCTTTACCTGCTGTGCCACAGTGCCGGCACCCCCCATCATTACTTCTTGTATCATTAGTAAAAATATCAAAACAGTAAAAATGGCAAAGCATATGCTAGTATTAGGGAAAGAGTTTGAACTCTCCTCTCCCACTTCTAAAAGGGTTTCAGGCCCCTAAAAGCATTCCACAGACCACACTTTGAGAACTGCTACCATAGCCGTGTCCTGCGTATGTCAACCCCCGCTTAAGCTCGGAGGAGAATTCCATGCCCAGACTGATCTCCACACCATATGTGCTCTCCTGGTTCCCTGCTGGGCCTTTGCCAAGGCTGTGCCTCTGCCAGCGATTCTGTGCCCATCAGCTTTCGCTTGGCCCATTCTCTTTGCCTTCACCCACTGAGGCCGGTGGATCCCTCCTCTGGGCTCCTTGCTCCTGTCACGGCACTCACCACATGCGATTACCATTGGCTGCATCGTGAGCTGGGTCATTCCTTCATTCATTCGTCTCGCACTCCTGCAACCAGGGCACGTGCTAAATGCCCCTTATTGTTTGAGGCTCTGAGGTCCTGTGCTGAACACAACAGATAAACCCCCACTCTCAGGGAGCAGGCCTCATAACGACGGCCAAAGAAGCAGAGTCGCGGGCAGCAAGTGGGCGGGAGGCTTCGTGGGCAGCGTGGTGACATGTGAGCAATGATCTGAAAGCCAAAAAGCGGGGAGCCGTGCAGATTCCTGGGTGGGGAGCGTTCCAAGCACAGGGGAGAGCAGCTGCCAGGGCTCTGAGCCGGGAGGGAGGGCTCCTACCGGGCTTGGGGAACAACAGGCAGGCCCGTGTGGCCGGGGCAGAGCAGTGGTGATGGTAGGAGGTGATGGAGGTGCAGCCAGAGGGGTGGGGGCTCTGTAAAGTGTGGGATGGGAGCCCCTGGGGGGCTCTGGGCAGAGTGGGACGCGATCTGACTCGTGTTTTGAAAAGGATCCCTCTGGGGCTGGTGCTGTGGCATAGCCGTTAAAGCCGCCGCCTGCAGTGCCAGCATCCCATATGGGTGCCGGTTTGAGTCCCGGCTGCTCCACTTCTGATCCAGCTCTCTGCTATGGCCTGGGGAAGCAGTAGGAGATGACCAAGTCCTTGGGTCCCTGCACCCACATGGGAGACCCAGAAGAAGCTCCTGGCTCCTGGCTTCGGATTGTCCCAGCTCTGGCTGTTGCGACAATTTGGGGAGTGAACCAGCAGATGGAAGACCTCTCTCTTTCTCCCTCTGCCTTTCCTTCTCTCTGTGTAACTCTGACTTTCAAATAAATAAATAAATCTGCTAAATGTGCCTGGGAAAGCAGCAGAAGATGGCCCAAGTGCTTGGGCCCCTGCACCTGCATGGGAGACCCGGAGGAAGCTCCTGGCTCTTGGGTTTGGCCTGGCCTAGCACCGACCATTGTGGACATCTGGGGATTGAACCAGTGAATACAAAGTCTCTCTATCTCTCTCTGTCTTTCCCTCTATGACTCTGCCATCTGGGGAGTGAGCCAGCGGATGGAAGACCTTTCTTTGTCTCTTTGCCTCTGCCTCTCTGTAACTCTGCCTTTCAAATAAGTAAATAAATCTTAAAAAAAAAAAAAAAAAAAAGACTGCATGGATAAAAAAAATTTTCTCTTTCAATTTATTTCATTTTTTTGAAAGTTGCAGAAAGAGACAAAGAGAGATCTGCTATCTTCTGGTTCACTGTCAGCTGTCCCCCATAGGTGACCTAGGTCAGACCAAATCCAAGAGCCAGGAACTCAATCCAGGTCCTCCACATGCGTGGCAGGGACCCAACTACTTGAGCCATCACCACTGCCTCCCAGGGTGTGCATCAGCCAGAAGCTGGAATTGAGGGTGGAGCTGGGACTCAAACCCAAGTACGTCAACACGTGACAGGGGCATTCCAAGTAGCGTCTTAACCACTATGCCAGGGACCTGCTCCTCAAAATTCTTTTGCACTGAAAGAAATGTACCCTCTGATTCCAATTTCCATGGACTTTTTAATATGGTGGGTAGAATAAAGCAGTTCTTAGACTTAGTTCTTCAATTACTAGTTGTGAAACCCTGGGCGAGTTACAAAACCACTGTGTGTTCACAGGTGGAGCTATTATTACTGAATGGGTGTCCCAGAGCAGAGGGCACAAGCTGATGGCCTGTGGGCTGGGCTGGGTTACGGACACATTACATTTGTCCGATATGGTGATTTACATCGTCTTTTGAAATTTGGCAACCTTTAAGTGTAAGGACATTTTACATGAAAATCGGATTTCTAGTTTATGTTTTTTTTTTTTCAAAAAAGATTTATTTACTGGGGCCAGCGCTGTGGTGTAGTGGGTAAAGCCGCTGCCTGCAGTGCCGCCATCCCATATGGGCACTGGTTTGAGACCCGGCTGCTCCACTTCTGATCCAGCTCTCTGCTGTGGCCTGGGAAAGCAGTAGAAGATGGCCCAAGCCCTTGGGCCCCTGCACCCGCATGGGAGACAAGGAAGAAGCTTCTGGCTCCTGGCTTCGGATCAGCACAGCTCCGGCCATTGCCGCCAATTGGGGAGTGAACGAGCAGTTGGAAGACCTCTCTCTCTCTCTCTGCCTCTCCTTCTCTCTCTGTGTAACTCTGACTTTCAAGCAAAATAAATAAATCTTTAAAAAAAAGATCTTTTTTTTAAAGATTTATTTATTTATTTGAATGACAAAGCTATAGAGAGGCAACGGAAAGGGGAGAGAGAGAGAGAGAGAGAGAGAGAGAGAGAGAGTCAGTCTTCCATCCGCTCGTTCACTCCCCAGATGGTCGGAGCTGTGCCGATCTGAAGCCAGGATCCAGGAGCTTCTTCCTTGTCTCCCATGCGGGTGCAGGGGCCCAAGGACTTGGATCATCTTCTACCGCTTCCCCAGGCCATAGCAGAGAGCTGGATCAGGAGTAGAGCAGCTAGGACTGGAACTGGCGGCCATATGGGATACTGGCGCTGCAGGCCGGGGCTTTAACCTGCTACGTCACAGCACCGGCCCCTTCCAGTTTACTTTGAAAACTAAGGAGCTGTGACGAACCTGTCTGATGTCAAGTCCACGTTCTGTCCCCTACACTATGCTGCCTTTTTAAATTGAATACTTGTTATTGGTGAGCCCTGAAGAATGTTTCTGGAGATGGCATTGTGGTTCAGTGGTTAAGGTGCAGCTTGGGGCACCCACATCCCATGTTGGAGTGCCTGGGTTCATGTCCCACTTCCACTTCTTCTTCTTCTTCTTCTTCTTCTTCTTTTTTTTTTTTTTTTAAAGATTTACTCATTTATTTGAAAGTCAGAGTTACATAGAGAGAGAAGGAGAGGCAGAGAGAGAGAGAGGTCTTCCATCCGCTGGATAACTCCCCAGATGGCCACAATGGCCAAAGCTGGTCTGATCCAAAGCCAGGAGCCAGGAGCTTCCTCCAGATCTCCCACACAGGTGCAGGGGCCCAAGGACTTGGGCCATCTTCTGTCTGTCTGTCTGTCTGTCTGTCTATCTATCTTTGTATGCCTTTTTTTTTTTTTTTTTTTTTTTTTTGGCAGGCAGAGTTAGTGAGAGAGAGAGACAGAGAGAAAGGTCTTCCTTCTGTTGGTTCACCCCCTAAATAGCCACTGCGGCTGGCGTGCTGTGCCAATCTGAAGCCAGGAGCCAGGTGCTTCTTCCTGGTCTCCCATGCGGGTGCAGGGCCCAAGGACCTAGGCCGTTCTCCAGTGCCTTCCCGGGCCACAGCAGAGAGCTGGACTGGAAGAGGAGCAACAGGGACAGAATCCAGCGCCCCAACTGGGACTAGAACCCGGGGTGCCGGCGCCGCAGGCGGAGGATAAGCCAAGTGAGCCGCGGCGCCGGCCTGTATGCCTTTCAAATAAAAATAAATAGACTCTTAAAAAAGAAGTCTTCCCCCAGTAGGATCTAGGCAATCTTGCAGGCACCCCAGAGAAGTTTCTGCGGTGGTTGTCGGGTAGAAAGATCTCTCCTGGGAGTTTTCTGCTGACTCAGGGCTGGGCAGCTGGCAGAGGCATGAGCATAAGAAAAACCTCCCTGGGTGATTCCTGAGGGACAGTGTCCTGGCTTAGGCCGCTGTGTAGCTCTGACGGGTCTGCCCACCTCGCTGTTCCATCGCCCTCTCCATCTTCTACCTTGCGTTTGCTTCCATTCCTCTGGCTGCTCCGCATCCCCCCATCTAGATGCCCCAAACTCTATCCCTTGGTCCCAAGGAAGCAGCAAGAGGAAGCGGCACTTAGCTTCGGGGGAAGGGGCTCTGCGAGGGTGCAGCCCTGAGGCCTGGGAGGGAACTTTCAGAAGAGGGGGCAGGTGGGGTGGGGGTGGGGGTTCTGCAGTGTGTACGTTGTGGGAGCTGACCAGGTGCTGTGGACTCTGTCTCTCCCTAGGCTCTGGAAGAGGATCTGAACCAGAAAAAGCGAGAGCAGGAGATGTTCTTCAAACTGAGCGAGGAGGCCGAGTGCCTGAACCCCACCACGCCAAGCAAGACCACCAAGTTCTTCCCCTCCAGCTCTGCGGAGGCATCTTAACACCTCCCCGGCCCGGGCTGTGGCCCTCGGGATGCTACCCGCTCTGTGAACCAGGAACTCAGGTCCCCCTTCCTGCTTGCTTCTGTGCCAGCTCCAAACCAGCCGCCGGCCAGCCGTGCCCCACAGACCTGTCTGGGTCCTCACTTCTCGTGCACCCGTGGAAGGCGAGGTGTTACAGCATCGGCTGCTCCTCGTGGGCATTCTCACCGAGCCCCAGATCCCGCGGGCTGCGGGTGGGGTCAGCTGGCAGGAATGGCTGCTGTGTCCTGGAGGGCCCCCTGCTGGCTGCCCGCGAAGCCACGGTGGTGTGATTCTTGCTGGCTTCTCACAGCCATTCTCGCCCAGCAGACTCAGACAAGAATCCAGGCCCCTAACAGCCGTCGTGGTTTCCCAGGGGGCGCCTGACCTGCAGCCAGCTGCTCAGGGGGTGCCCCCATTCTTCCAGCTACCCCAATTTGCTTGCTTCTCCCGACAATGTGTGTCTGCCTGCGGGGAGGAGATGGAGGAGGAGGGAGGCCTGAAATGCTCATGGTGCTGGCCTTGGGTGCTTTGTGCCATCTCGTGTCTGCCGTTGCTGTATGTGCATGTGCACACAGGCATGCACACCATGCCACGCACGCGGCGCCTGGCCTCGTGGCTGCCGCCCTGGCCTCCTGTGCCCAGGTGGGCCGGAGCACATTTGCTGGTGGAACCCGTGCCTCTGAGCGTGTGTCGTGGAGCAGCTGGTGGGGAACATGCTGGGTGTGGCACCCAAGGCCCAGAGAAGGCGCAGGCTGTCCTGCCAGTCCTGTGTGCACGGATAGATTCCTCGCCACACGGCTTTCCTGCCGCGGGCTGCTCCTGCCTGCTGCTTGCCAGCCCGCCCACCAGTGATATGGGATGGCCATTTCCCTCTTCCCAGGGACCCCATCTTACATTTCAGACCGAGGCTGGCAGTTCCCTGGACTTCTCTTCAGGACTAAAAGGCAACTGGGAGACAGGGAATGGCTGCTGCCCCCAGGACCGTGGCAGAAGCGAAGGTGTTCAGATGGACTCCTGGGCCTTCAGTGTTTGTTTCTGTGGGCACCCTGCAGGTGCTAACTGCACAGCCTGCAGAGTGTGTCACTCAGGAAATGCCAGCGCTTGGGCCAGTGTGTCGTGCATGTACAAAGCAACCCTTTTTCACCTTCTGTTTGTTGAAACCCATGTGGGTGTCTCCCGGGGCGGGGACCACGTGTTCTTTAAAAACCCCAGAAGTGATGAGTTTGAGGAATCTATTGGGGCATGCGCAGCCTGGGTGCTGTTTTGCTGGGGACAGAGGAGGTACCCTGAGAGGTCTTTTTCCTCCTTTCCTCCTCCAGGTTTAAGGCTGGGTGCTTTGTCTTTCTCGAGGCAGTTTTCTGGACGTGCTCTCGGCAGGGGTTGTAACTGGATGCTTGGGAAGGGAGGAGAGGGCAGCCATCCAATAGGAAAAGGGACCTAAACATGCAGTGGAGATGCGCAGGGCTGGGGTGGCGATGGTTCTCTTCAGGTTACTGAGGGCTCAGTCACCTCCTTCGGTGTTCAGCCCGGGTGGGACGCTGTTCAGGTCTCACTCGATGAGACAAGTTCAGTCACCTTTTACTCTCTTGCTTACGCAGGGAATCGTGAAGCAGCTCCAGTGTAAGCTCAGAGCAGAGATCCAGTTCCACCAGCGGGCAGAGGGTGAGGTGGGCTGCGGGGGGCTTTGTTTACGATATTTCCTCTGCAGCTCGGCTGTGAGGCCAGGTTCCTGATTCAGGTGGAAGGCTGATCGGCCCTTGGTTTGGCCTGTCATTCACACTGCCCCTGCCCTCCCTGGAGAGCTCTGAGCTGAGCCCCACTGGCTTTCTGGAGCAGGGTCTGGCCAGGTCTCAGCCTCACCACTGTGCCTGTTGCTGAGAAGGCCCGTGCGGTGCTCCTTGTGTCCTGTGTAATGTTTTCTGTGTGCCGGACAGATGGAGCTGTCGGTCCTTCCCAGTGCATTTTTAAAGCAGAGTAAATAGAACTAACTTATATTTTCCCTTTATGAAGGATAAACGTTATTTTTATGTAGTTTCCAGACTTTGTATACGGGACTTTTGTAAGATGTTCTCTGCGAAGTTAACTGCAAGAATGGAAATAGGCTTCAAATAAAATAACAAAGTGGTTTGCAGCTGGGAGTGTTCCTTTGGATGGGGGTGGGCAGGTGGGCACAATGACCCGCATTTGCCTGGCAAGAACATGTTCACTGTCAGAGTGCAGGTGCCTCCCAGGTCACAAAGCCCAAGCAGCATCTTGGGCTTTGGAGTTCTGTTCTGAACGAAGTGTGCTTGGCTGAGTGTGCAAGTGTGTGCATGTGCTCTGCACACATGAACATCACTCCTTCCACCCCTGAGTTTTTACAGGTGAGCGTATCGAATCCTTTGGCTGCGGTTTGGGTATCGACTGTCCCCCGAAGGCCCATCTGCAAAATGTTTGGTCCCCAAAGTCTTATGTTACTGGTACTGGAAACTCAGTCCAGTTATGGTGTCTGAAGCTGGGCCGTTGGGAAGTGATGGGATTGGATTAGGTTACTGGGTTGGAGCCCCGTGCTCACAGTGCAGTGGGTTTATAAAGAGAGACAGATGGACACACACGCTCCCTGTCTTGCTATGTGATGCCTTGTGCCACCTTGGGACTCTGCCAGCAAGAACACCATCACCAGATGTTCAGCCAGTGTGGCCTCCCAGCAGTGGGCTGTGGGCCGTGACACTTCAAAACCACAAGCACAAACTAACCTCTTTCATCCCAAGTGCTTGTCTCAAGTACTTCACTGTGGCCATGGAAAGCTGACTGGCCCACGTTTCATCCTGGAAGGAGCGTCATGTGCTCATTGCACAGGTGAGGAAATGGAGCCGGGGCGTGGGAAGGGTCACACTGACTCTCACTGCACTCGTTAGTGGTGCCTTCGGAACTCAAACGAAGACCTGCCAGCAGTGTCCATCACACGGACCCCTAACCATCAGCTGTCTCTGCCTTAATTTTTTTAAGTTTTATTTACTTGAAAAGCAGAGAGTTATATATAGAGGGAAAGATCTTCCATCCCCAAATGACTGCAATGACCAGAGCTGGTCCAGGCTGAGGCCAGGAACTAGGAACTCCATTTGGGTCTCCCACGGGGTGGCAGGGTCCCAAGTACTTGAGTACTTGCTGATTTCCCAGGTGCATTAGCAGGGAGCTGAATCGGAAGTGGAGCAGCCAAGACTCTTGTGCTCATATGGGATACCAGGGTCACAGGCAGTGGCTTAACGTGCTGAGCCACAACTCCATTTCTGCCTTATTTAAAGGGACTTGTCTGGCGTTCTTCTAAAACACCAATTAGAAGCTCTTATCCTGGGGTTCGTAGGTAAAATTCAGGGCATTTTTTTACTTTGATGGTAAGAGATCTAGTCTTTAGTTTTACTAACCTCTGACTGGAATTAAACGTTTCCTTTCACTGTGGACATAGGTAGGAGTGTGGTGGTATCAGCAGCACTGTGACTGTGTCCCCTGTAGAGAGCATAGATGTTTCACACCACACCACAGCTGCCACACACATCTCCAATAACCATTTTTGTTCATAGCTTTGTAGTTGAACTTGTTGCTATATATTGTTACTTAATGTGCATCACATTAAATATACATGTAGAGCGTATGTCAGAAAGTTTATGGAAAAGTGGAATTAAAAGATAAATTTATTTTGGTTCAAAAACAATTTCAAAATCTGTGCATATGAAGCATCTTCAAATCATTCATGGAAAATGTGCATTATGAAGAAACCACATGGATTTCAACATTTTTTTTGCACTAAAATAAACTTTTGTTTTCATTCTATGTTCTGTGAGCTTTTTAAAGTTCTCTTGTGGCTGGGGCTGCGGCTCAATAGGCTAATCCTCCGCCTGCGGTGCTGGCACACCAGGTTCTAGTCCCGGTCGGGGCGCCGGATTCTGTCCCGGTTGCCCCTCTTCCAGTCCAGCTCTCTGCTGTGGCCAGGGAGTGCAGTGGAGGATGGCCCAAGTGCTTGGGCCCTGCACCCGCATGGGAGACCAGGAGAAGCACCTGGCTCCTGCCTTCGGATCAGCGCGATGTGCTGGCCACAGTGCGCTGGCCACAGTGGCCATTGGAGGGTGAACCAATGGAAAAGGAAGACCTTTCTCTCTCTCTCTCTCACTGTCCACTCTGTCAAAAAAAAAAAAAAAAAAGTAAAGTTCTCTTGAATACAGAAACATATATATAGGTTTGGAGGCCAAACATAACGCAGCGGGTTAAGCCACCCTTGGGATGCCCGCATCCCACATCAGTGTGCGTGGTCAAGTCTCTGCTACTCTCTGCTTCTGATCCTGCTTCCTGCTGGTGCATCTGGAAGGTAGCAGATGGTGACCCAAGTACTTGGGCCCCTGCCACCCATTGTGGGAGACCCGGATGGAGTTCTGGCTCCTGGCTTCGGCTTGGCCCAGCCTCAGCTTTTGCAGCCATTTGGGGAGTGAACTAGGAGATGGAAAAAAAATTTTTTTCTGTCTCTCCCTCTTTGTCACTCTGCCTTCTAAATAAATAAACCTTCAATATGTGTGTATGTGTGACAATATTTTGATACTTGTATTTCCTTATGCTTGGTTTCACGTGTAACCTCTGTGCTTTATATCATGCATCTGAAAATTTTCTGAGGAGAGATTCCTATTTGTGGAAGAACTGCTCTGTCTCCAGCCCTGAGCTGGCCTAGAAACATTCCGACCAGCAGGGGGCAGGCACAGTCACGGTGTCAGCACAGACCGCAGTGATTACTGTCTAGGGAATGCAAATGAGCAGGCAGCTGGCAGAGTGCAGGAGACTGGTGAGACCATATCTTAGGAGCTGTGGGCACTTAGGATTTGGAAATGAGGTCATTCTGCTTGGGCATCTCTTAAACACCAGTTTTATATATGCTGAAATGAGTAAGAACTTGACATTGACACAAAAACACAGGGTCAGTTCAGGCTGACATTAGAGAATCAGGAAGACTTCAGAGAGCAGGTGATGCTGAGTCTTGCCAGAGTATTTGCCAGAACACCCACATTCAGAGACTTAGGTACAGTTTAAGATAAATGGTTTATGGGTCATGATGCTGGAGAGAGGGACAGGGCCAGACCAGCATGCTAGGCTAAGACACCCTTACTCTAAGGGCAGTAAGAAGAATGGGAAAGGGGCCTGGTGCTGTGGCGCAGCGGGTTAATGCCCTGGCGTGAAGCACCGGCATCCCATATGCGCGCTGGTTCGAGACCTGGCTGCTTCCTTCCCATCCAACTCTCTGCTATGGCCTGGGAAAGCAGTAGAAGATGGCCCAAGTCCTCGGGCCCCTGGATCCCGCGTGGGAGACCTGGAAGAAGTTCCTGGCTCCTGGCTCCAGATTGGTGCAGCTCCAGCCATTGTGGCCAACTGGGGAGTGAACCAGCAGATGGAAGACCTCTTTCTCTGTGTCTACCTCTCCTCTCCATAATTCTTTCAAATAAATAAATCTAAAAAAAAAAAAAAAAAAAAAAAAGAATGCAAAGATGTGACTCAAGAACAGTTGAAATCATAGCCTTAGTGATTTGAGACCTGGGAAGATGGACTGAGATGCTACTGAATGAGTATATTGTCCACAAAGGTTTGAGGCTTTAGGAAAGAAAGGGAAGACTACTGCAGGCTTCTTGGGGGCAGATGTTGAGTTTTTAGTTGGGGGCTGACCTGTGGCATAGCAGGTTAAGCTGTGGCTTCCAACAAAGGGATCCCATGTGAGAGTGCCAGGTCTGAGTACTGGCTGCTCTACTTCTGATTCAGCTTCCTGCTTATGTGCCTAGGAAGGCACTGGAAGATGACCCAGGGAGACCTGGATGGAGTTCTGGGCTCATAGTTTCACCCTGGCCCAGACACAGCTGTTGTGGCCATTTGGGGAGTGAACACAACAATGGAAAATTCTCCTCTCCTCTCCTCTCCTCTCCTCTCCTCTCCTCTCCTCTCCTCTCCTCTCCTCTCCTCTCCTCTCCTCTCCCCTCCCCTCCCCTCCCCTCCCCTCCTCTCCTCTCCTCTCCTCTCCCCTCCCCCTCCTCTCCCCTCCCCTCCCTCTCCCTCTCTCTCTCCCTCTCCCTCTCCCACTGTCACTTTGCCTTTCAAATAAATAAATCTAACATTTTAATAGACCCTTAAGGCCCAGAACCTCACATGTTGCAATGCTAGAGACCCCTGGTCTCAGTTTCTCATGCAGGGACTACAAAGGGAGCAGTGGGGGTCTAGAGGCTACAGATTGGGTGGTACCAGAGGTGTTTATTAACCTGATTAGCAAATATGTCTTCCGTTACAAGGCTGAGGAGACCTCTAGGACCAACGATGGCAGATGAGGCCACTTAGGCGAGCCCTGGCACTGAGGACAACCGGAAGAGCCAGACAAAACCATTAAACACTGAGGGCACAGGAGGACCACAAGATGGTGAAGAATGACCAGGCCAGGGTTCAAGGAAGGGTGGAGACCCTAGTGCATGTGCTGATCCCAGAGGGTGTAACAGAAATGCTAAGGTGGGCTTTGGATGGGCTGCCCAGGGCCAGGAGTGCAGGGATTGGAGCCCAGGGCCTTGCAAGGGGACTGTCATTCTTGAAGTAATCAGAACCTCAGAAATAGGCCCAAGGGATCTGGATTGCCAGTGTTCACGTGTCCTGAGCCCTCCCTGGATAAAAACAGCCTCTGAGGCTTCATTGTTTCTTCAGTTTACAAATAAAATGTCTGTCGCTTCCCGTCTTCGTGGAGGAACGACACAGGACCCTGCGTTGTTCTTTCGTCTGCTCGGCCCTCCCCGGGTTTGCTGCTGGTTCTTCCCGGGTTGGCTACCGTCCCTTCCACCTGCGTGGAAGGGCGATTCCCCCTGCCACTTTTCCCCACTTCCGCGGGGGAGCGGCACACCGCCGGCCGGCTCTCTCGGGGGCTGCACAGGTGTTCCTTCAGATAGATGTTCCCCAGTGCATGTTGTCTCTCTCCTCCTTTATAGTCCTCTTCCACCAATCCCAACTCTGCTACCCACACTCCGAGTACGCTGCTCTCCTCCAATCAGGAGTAGGTCCTACAATTTATTGGTTGAACTGGAGGCAGCTGTGTAGAAGCTGTTTCTCCCTTCTCAGCGCCATATTGTGGGAGAGCAGATGCATAGA